CCACAAAGATAAAACTTGCGCTCCAGGATTTATCGGCTACAATTCAGCACAACTCCAGTTTTGTTACTTCTGTATTTTTTTTCGCTGAATCTTCCATTATGTTTGTTCCTTTATTGAATGAACAAAATGGCTTCTTCCCCATTGCTACAGAGAACTACAACTCCAATGAGAGTGTGATAATGGCTTGGGAACATTCTTTCCTCCAGCTTGTCTGTAGATGTATATTCTTGCATTGATTGTCCTCTCAAGAGTATTGCTTACCTCAGCCTAAGTCAAGGTAGAAAGATCAAAGAATAGACTGATATTTCAACTGGGTTAAAGAAGGTGACTTTTCTAATTGCATTTTGTAAAGTTCAATCTCCGGTGTGAATTAGAAAACAATTGATTCCCTGACTATTCATGAAAAGAAAACATGAACTCAGACCAAAAGTGATTTTAATTTTGTAACTCATTTTTCATGACTACAGTCAATTTTATACAATTAGCTGCAGTTGGTCCCACTGAAATGAATTAAGAAAGGAAATTGATGGAAAAAAACACTTTTCTGAAGTGCGCTGCGCCTTCATAATTAATCATAACTTCGAATGTTATTTTATGTGATATTTCTGAATCGATTCTCTGGAGAAGGGAGCGATTAATATTCAATAATGTTGTTTTGTGTATGAATCAGTGATTCGCTTTTAATGAGTTTCGTAAAGTTTTTTTTAATTAAAAAGGTCCTTCAAACTTTCTTAGCCCGGTTTAGTGTTGAACAATCTTAGAAAACATGTTATGGAGAAGAACAAGAAGCCATTTCCCCCATTGAGCCCATTTCTTTCAGAGAACCTTTCAGTAGCATAAGATCTATCTACCTTCATTTTTCCGCTCTTCCAAAATACTCACTCTTGCATGTTCTCCAGTGCCTTACCCAAGTGACTAACTTCATGTATGATCATGGATGGTGAATGTTACAAAGGTCTGGAACATCACAGCTGACCTGCCTAAGATCAGCTAAGTCAACACAGCCAGGAATGCAAACCTGCCATCTTCTCTTGTGTGCCTTGGTGCTCCACCAGATGGTGCTCTGGGTTTGCTACCCTGCGCTATATAAATGCAAGTTGTCGTTGGTGGCTTTTATCCATGAAGCCATTAGGGGAACCAACTGGAACTGACTCAAACTAACTTAATAATAATAATAATCCTTGCATTTGATATAGCGCATTATCACACCATCGAGACGACTCAGGAGGCACGGTCAGAGAGGAAGGTCTTGAGATAGGTCTTGAAGGAGGAAAGAAAAGGGGTGAGGCAGAGGGGCTCTGGGATGGACCATGTTCCAGAGAGTGGGGGCAGAAAAGCTGAAGTAGGGGCACATGGAGCAGGCCAGTGCCTGCCGCAACTAATAACCTAATATTTATCTGCGTTAAAATCGATCTGCTGCTCCTAGCTAAATTATAATTGTTTTGGAAGCTCATGGACTTAATTGCTCTTTCCACTCAACTCTACAGCCTTTCCAGTTTGTGCTCACGTAATATGGGAAACACGGATTTAAAACAGAATATTAAAGGCAAAACCAAATGTACTTTTCACAAAAAACAGAAAAGTAATTTGCATATTTTTTCGTGAAAAACTTTCACAACTAAGAAAAAAAAGTTTTTATTGAAGCTGTATTTTAACATTCCAAATTATACCTCTTTGGCCAGGATTTCAATCATCTCTCCCTTCCTCCCCCAGCTCGGGTACGCATCTGGAATCGTTGAGCGCTTTGAGACGTGCATTTACTATATAAACGTAAATGTTAGTCATTTGCATTTCTCTTTTTTTCTTTTGAATATGGCTGAGGTAAAACAAAACGGATAACCTGAAAGTAAGATCATATTGCTGGCAGGATTAATTTAGAAAACAATCACACTTTTGAGGCAGAGATCGTTAATGGAAATGGAAATTTATTCCGTGCTCAACACTAAGAGGTGTGAGAGAGTGGCCTGAAGTGATCAGTCTGGTGATTTTTCTGCTCCTTCCTCCCTTGTGAGGAATTGATTCATCTGTTCTCTGTGCTTTCCTCATGCTGTGACTGCCACTGATAGTTAGCTCACCGGGTGGCAATTGGGGATGTAAACACATGTCCCATCTTTCTCTCTGGCAATGGATCATTGGTGGTGTAATGAAGAGCGACAAATCATTACCCAAATTTAAGCTATACAAATATTTAACTAGCGACTTCCAAAATCTCAGGAAATCCAATGTCAACTTCACAATTAATATGGATTTAAAAAAATTATACTAGAACTGTCAATTCTTCACAAAACAAGGGATGGGGCTTGGTTGATAGAACTGTGTTTTGGAATCGAATAATTATTACTCACTTATGACCACAAGTAAGAATGAGGTATTACTGGTTCCCCTCCAAGCCACTACCAGTAAGAATAGAATAATGTTGCAGTGATTCACAACACAAGCAATGCATCATTTAACGCCACAAATTATACCTGATGTTTCTTTCTGACGAAGTTTCACAATTATTTTTCAGATAGTTTCCTTTATCTGAACATGTTCTTCCATTAATGTGTCCAGCAAGAACATGACTTATCAGAGGTTTTTTGTTACAAATTTCTTAGCTATTACAAAATCAGAAGTGGAAACACGCCTTTCAGTTCAGGCATTATTTCTGGTCTCATTTCTGTGCTTTCGAGTTATTGGGACAGCCCATTGCACAGTGTAATTTGTACATTACAGCTTTTTCTCATGTCTCCTCATCTTCCATGGTAACGGTAGTCCTTCACCATATTCATCAGAAGAAATCTCATAAAACCAGCTTGGAATGCATAAAATTAGAGTAATAATCATAATAAATGTTAAGTTTAGTTTCTGTTGTGATAGTCAAATATCTATTAAATTGCTTAGAGACAATTCTGACTCAAGAGTTCAATTGCCTCGGTTAAGGCAATTCTTGCTGCTCAAGCCCAGTTGCACTGTGAGTTCCACAGCTTCACATTTGCTTCAGAGCGATTTCAAATCCTAGGAGGCCATTTACCAAAGAGTTATCTATAATCCTTCAATTGCCAACATGTCTGGAGACGTCCTCGTCTCCATAAGCGGATGGATTCTGCACATTTTCTGCTACCAAGCTGTGCAACATTAAAAAAAAATGCAAATGTTTAATACAGTGAAACAGTGGATAACTCACCCCTGGGATAAGTTGTCAACTCCACATAACTCGTCACTCACTCAATATCCCGGCTATTTCCTGTACAAAATGTTAATTAACCAGTCACTCTGGATATCTCGTATCTCGTCAGGATTTCACACTTTTAAGAAGTTGTTCTTAAAACACCTCCGGTAGCTTGTCATTTTATTGGGTCTTCAAATCGCTGAGCAATACAGGAATCTGTTTTAATTTAATTTTTTAAAAAGTGTGAAAGTTACTTTGGATAACTTGTCAATGCTGATAATTCATCATTTGATCTACTTCCCTTGGGGTGACGAGCTATCATCAGTTTCACTGCCGTTACACCTTTCTTTTTAACCTTTCTTCTTACCTCCAACTCCTGCCGTCGGTTTTCAAATTCAGGAGCAAAGTGCAATGAATTAAACTGACTCAGAAACGGCTTCTTTGCAGGCAGCGCAAATCCTGAAACATTAATATTTAATGGGCACTATATATCTGTGAGCAGATGAATCATTGAGACAATGCTTAAATGTAAGTGGGAGCTGAGAATGTGTAAGATTTGCCTGTGTAACCGGTAAACCCTCGGCCACTACCCACCGAGGATGACCAGTATATATTATTTTGATCTTCATAATAGGACCATAGAAATGTACATTACAGAAGGAGGCCATTTGGCCCATCATGTCTGTGCTGGTACTTTAAAACAACCACTTTTCAGTCCCATTTACCTGGCTTTTCTCCAAACGCTTGTAGTTTGCTTGTTTTTGCAATAGAATTATGGATAAGTATCATTAAGTATGTGTACTTCTCTTTTGAAGGAGTTCGTTGACACAGAATCAATTGCTTTAGTTCGGAGTGCCCTGAGTTCAATTCCAGGCAGGGCGAAACCTTGGGCAAGTTTCCTTACTCCACACAGAGCCTAATAATAATCCCTCCAAAACCAAAACCAATAATAAATTGGTCATTTTCAATCTATGACTGTTTGTGGGACATTGCTGTGCGCAATTGGCTGCCGCGTTCGCCCACAAATATACAGTCAATTCACTTTACAGTGTGTTCTGTGAAGTGCTTTGGGACGTCCTCCCGACGTGAAAAGCGCTATATCAAATGCAAGGATTATTATTATTATTATTCTCTGGGAATGCTATGGAGTATTATTCTACTGTGGCGAAGATTTATGATAATTTTTTTTAGCATTTCATTCAAAATTAATTGCAGGCTTTACTAAACAACCATACAAAAATATCTACCCACACATGCCACCTCGCAGTCATTTTTGAAGGGAACTGAGTTGAAAATCTGTTAGCTTCAAGTCAGACACACTTTAGATGTCACACACCCAGATACAGATAGCTCTCAGCATGAAGACGTTTGAATGTTTGTGATGTGAAGTCAAGAATGAAGATTGCCTAGAATGGGATTGTATCATTTTTAAGATATTGAAGCAAGGATAGCCACAGACGATAATGCACATTAAGATAAGTTTCTCTGGCTCTAGTGGCTCAGGCAGGTTAAAAATACATCCTCTGCAACGATTGCAAAACATAATAAGCACAGTACTGATGGTGCCTAAGAACAACAACCATCTCCCTTGCCTCCTTCAAGACCCATCTCAAGGCGCTCGTCTTCGACCGTGCCTTCGGTCACCCTCCTACCCCTACCCCTAACACCACCCCCACCCCCCCCCGATTCCAACCACCAGCTCGGGTGCGGAATCCCTGGCTGTCCGGTGCCTTGGGACATCCTCCTGATGTAAAAGGGCGCTATACAAATGTCATTTATTATTATTATTATTATTTGTTTTTGTCGTTGTTGTTGAAAGGAATTCAAACCGAGTCAGTGTTTTAAAAGGGGAGTTTTATTTATAACACTGAGGGGCTAGGCGCGAATGCACCCGTTCAGCTCTGGTACACAATAAATCTGCAAAGCTGTTACTCAGTTGAACCAAGACTGCAGTGGCACTAGAAACACGCATTCAAAACGTTTTTTTTNCTCTATCTTCCCTTTTTTTTGGTACAAAATGGTACAAACAACGATACAAAATATTTGTGCTGTTGACCATTACAAAAAAAGTTTTGTCTAACTGTGCAATGATTGTGTTGAAACATGAATTACGTGACACCAGAAGGAATCGTTCTCCGAAAACAACCACAGTCATGCGGGGCTGCTAGGCTTTCAATATATATATATATATATAAAAAAAACACATGCAGAAAAGAAAAAAGCTCCAATTATACACATAACATTATCTAGGTGGTGTATGCTTCAAGCAAGACTACATTATGTACACACTACATTGAGAACTTAAGTGGATACCGATGTTAAAAAAAATTAAGTTACATTAATATGACGTCAATATCACTCCAGACTTCAAAAGGAAAAAAAAACTATCTGAATACTAATGAAGACTTACCAGTCTCTTCAGAATGCTTTGCCATTATTTGTACACTGCTTGGCAAATCAGATTTTCAAAGTTAAGCTCTATACAACATATACAGTGTGATTAGCCACCCACCTGCTCAGTTTGAAACATGGCTGTTAATACATGTGTATCTCTGTACATTTTGTCTTTTATGTATTTTACACCAATAGTTTAAAAGGCAAAAAAGGAAACGTGTCCGTTAGCCAGAGTGGAAATATACTGATCGTTTATTTTCTCTTCTTAGCCAGTCGTGGACCAGGGATCAATAGATGGTTGAATTTTAATCGCTCCTGAGATTGAGGGAATCCGATAAAACGTACCAAAAAGGCACTTTAAAAACAGTGCTTCTGTACTAAGAAATTCAAGTTAATAAAGAGCGCCTGTCACTCTTAGTTGTAAAGCAGACGTTGAGCGATATTCCTGCTGACTGACCCAAAAATATGCAGCAAAGACAACAAGCATTCATGCTAACAGCTCATGTTCTAAAATAAAAAAAACCTAACTCACCACTAAAAAATATTATGGTCAGCGAGGAATATTAATGAAAAAGCTGCCTCTTTTTGTACAGTTCCTTCATTCCTAGGGTACTGTTAGTCTTCGTCTCCTCCACCGTACATGTCTGCTAGCTTCTTGAATCGAGGTCCCCAGTCATTAAGGTAATCGTAATCATGGTCGCCAGTGCTGGATGAGTTCAGGGAACTGACTGACCCTGCAGTCGAGCCACTGCCTTCATAGTCAAACACCAGCAGGGAATCGTAGGGTGGAGCTGTCGGGTCATTGTCCGCTGCTCTCAGACCCTGGAGACATTTTTCAAAAAAAAATAATCATAAAATCATTAAACGTTCAAGATGACAATGGAATCTCGACACAAAGTGAAACGATGCTTTTCGAAACTGAAAATACTTTTTGACACAAATAATTAATTGCAAAGTTGCGCTAACCTTTCGATTACCTTTGATAACCCGTAAGCACGCATTTTGTCTGATTTGACTACATGATTTAGTGCAATAAATGTTCACTAGAGAGGAGAGGAGGGAGAACAATTCTAGATCTAGTTATGCAGCAATATGACACTCAAATTCCGCCTACTCTTAGCCTATAAGAATTGTGGAAACATATTCAATTCAGTCTTAATTTGCAAGACCTTCCTTGAAAGGAACTGTGAAAAAAAACAGCTTCCTAATTAAAGTTGAGTTCAAGCGTTTTACAAAATTCTTCACTGTCTTAAATGTTAGGAAAAAAGTGATTTTACAGGCTAAGACTATGTAGAATTTCTTATTTCATTATCCCAGTTTCACGTCAAGCTAAATGTTGAATAGGCCTCTCTTTGTATCGTTATTGTTTATCTTTAATCATCTCCCTTTCTATTTCCACACTCCTTTCATTACCACCTTACTATTTTTTCAATTGAGAATAAGGGATAGTGTTGTTATGGTCAAGGACTATATTCTGTAGGCCACAATCAAAATTCATTGAAGAGCAGACTATATAACACATGATTCAAAGAAGGAATATTGTACAACAGATCTTTCTCCAGAGGAAGGAATTCCTCACTCCTGATCCATATTTTCTCCGGCAACTTGTCAAAGAACAAATAACACCTACCAAACCTGAGGTGAGAAAGCCCTGGATAACCTTCAAGCAGTGCTTGACTACAGTACTTCAATTACCGTTTCTAGAATAGTTGTGAAAAATGAATCCCATTCTGGTTTGAAGTCAATGTGTGTGGCAACAATTTCCAATGTATTTTTAAACATGTATTGGTTGCTATCATCTTGATATAGCTTTCCAGTTCAGTTTGTGTCAATTCAGAAATATCCACTGATAAGTAATAATCCTTGCTTTTGGTATAGCACCTTAATCACTTTGTTGAGACGTCTCAAAGCGCTTCACAGAATACACTGTAAAGTGAATTGACCGCATATTTTGTGGGCGAAAGATACGACTTTGTCCAATTAGCTGATTACTTGAATATATTTCTTAACGTGTTCAACAGTGGCGTTAGCAAAAAATGTTTCGTTTTTATCACCTCATTGATGAAGTCTCCAATATCTCCAGGGTGAGGAATTGTTGGACGTATTGGATATTGTGGCTCAGCGCCAATAGGCCGCTCATCCACACGTCTGATTCCGGGAGTCTTTGACAACACGGGGTCCAGTGAGTCTGGCTGTTGTAGTTGGCTCAAGTCATAATCCTGCAAAAGGAGGTATCAGACGTTTTAGACATACTTTCTCTGGGATCATCAATTTATTGAGTTTGCTGAGACAAAGATCTCTTCTGTAGCCGATTCTTATTATTGTTTCCAGACCCACCGGTCATTATGAATTTCTTGTATATACTTACTTGAATAAACTAATTGTAATTATTCTAAACGTTTACCTTGAGTGAAGGTATCAATCCAAACCCGCTGAAATCAAATAAAGGTTTGAGGCCCCTACCCCAGGTATTCCCTATGGCAAGTTCTATCAGGCCTGGGAGCAACTAAACAGTTGCTTCCTATTCCTCTTAAAATAAAACATAGGTTTGTAAATCACATGTATGCTGACAACAATAATAATAATAATCCTTGCATTTTGATGTAGCTTCTCAAAGCGCTTCACAGAATATACTGTAAAGTGAATTGACTGTATATTTGTGGGTGAAACGCGGCAGCAATTGCGCACAGCAGCGTCCCACAGACAGGCGTGGATTGAAGTGACATATTGTAGTATTGTTTTTTTTCTTGAGAGATTATTATCAGGCATATGGTGCAAGGAAACTTGCCCAAGGTTTCGCCCCGCCGGGCATCGAACCCAGGTCTCTCTCTTGCGAGGTGAGTGCTCTAACCACTGAGCTACAGGACTCCAAATGATTTACAATACAAAAGTAGGCACTGCAAATTCATCTGATTACACTGGGTCAAAATTATCTCTCATTCTTGACTTAATGAATAAGGAAGTTAATAGCCTTATGGAAGTTAATTAGCTATAATGAGTCGGCCAAACCTATCAAATACATACAGACTAAAGAAAATAATGTGCCTCAGAGTTGCCAAATAGATATCATAAAAACTACAATTAATTGCTGGCAAGTAGAGAAGAACATGGAAACTTGTGAGCAATCCAAGTGACATTAATTGGATGGATTTTTCTGGGGGAAATCATCCAGTTTTGAGCATGAAGCTTTGAAAGTGTCCATTTCCTGCCTTTCCAATGACGTAGACATTAAAAACGAGAGGAAGAAATTAATTCTGTCCAGGTAAAGCTTGCTCTATCCAGAATCAGATTCAATTTATAGCGAGGTTGATTTGAAGTAATGGAGAAGGCAGGAAAAATAAATATTCGATTTAAAAATCATATTATGTGAAAAAAAAGCACAACACAAACCAAAATGTGTGGAAATAATGATTGCGATTTAAGGAAATAAATGGCCTTACCAAGACAATCAATAAATTAATTATTGAAAAGCTGGACAGAGAGTAATAGATTTTGCAGCTTAAATTTACATCAGTTTAGGCTGCAGCTAAAGTGTGTTAATTGATAAAGGTCCTCCTTGAAGCATTTTGTTTCTTAACCTATTTTCTCTCCTGAAGGCTTTTGATGACTTTTACTCCTTTTATCAAGGGATGATTCTGAAGGTGCTTGTCCCCAGGAACCTTAACCAGGAAGCCAGGATTCACTGTAAACCTTGACTTTGGGATTTGACTGTTTGACTGTGTTGTGTGTTTGGGCGGGTCGGGGAATTCAGTTTTAAGGCTGAACCTGATCCCGTCATCAACCAATGGCCATGTATACAAATCTCGCAGCAGGGATTGATATGTAACAAATAGAAGCCAGAATCCTGACTGATATTCATCTACCTAAGCCAGGCGACTGGCCTCTGGCTGAGACCATAAACAAGCTCTATTGGTGGTAAGCAGGCTCTGATATATCAGTCATTGTTTTATTTTCTGCTTCCTTTTCACGTGTTCTTCAGAGGAGCTCACAAATCTCTTAAGTGCAAGTCGAATCATTTCTTTCAGAAGCTGCTCGTTAGAAGTTGCCACTCAACCTCCTCCTGCATTTCCAAATTCTTTACGACAACAGACCAGCTGACGGCTGGATCACCCAAGCAGCTAACAGGATTGATTTTGCTTTTCGGATCCCAAGCATTTGTTGATATGTTCCATCAGCGCTTTGGCGAATCAGTCACACTGATACTCTGCACCTTCATCCGACGATTAACAGTCATGCTCTTGCAATGTCCCTTGGTAGCTGCAGTTTAAAGCCACAATTTCAGGAATTCCTACAGATCATTGCCATCTCCCTGGTTCAGTGTGTTCAGGCAGTGGGTCTTGGCTACTTGCTGGATATTAACGATGATGTAGTCTTGTCGGATTGCATTGCGAGAACGTTAGCATCAAGAACCGAATGCATCAGACTCCTAGTTCGAAATACTGAAGGTGCCCTGTGACAACCCTTGCTCTGCCTTTCAGCTCCGCTGCGCTCAGTCTTACTTTAATAATATTTTCAAAATGACCCACACTACAATGATAGCCCAGTAATCTTTGAATTTGAGGCACACGCAATCACTTTGCACCTTGCAAATGAGCCTGATTCAATGCTTTGACTTCCATCGCCTCAATAATTATCTTTAGTGCACGATTTGCTCTGGTAGAGTGAATTACTATTTGATCGGGTTGTGTGTTTCCGCAGCTACTGTTGCCTTTTGAGTGGTGTTCACATTCAAATCGTTCTGAGATGTGGTGTAATCAAATAGCATATTATTGAGGATTATTAATCTCACATCTGCTGCAAGTCTCTTCTTTTTGTGTGTAAAAAGTTGATGAAATGGCAGTCCATCACATTTGTCTCCTGATAGACTATCCAATTTAGTAGCCCATTTATGCACCCGCTACGGAGAAATTAATTGGCTTCTAAATATCTTTTTTTAAAAATAGATAGTCTACACAACGCCACTTTCCGTTACTAATGAAATGTATCTGTAGGTATGGTAAGCTGCTCTTCTTGTCTAATGCATTTTATTCAGTGCCATTGATCACAAACGGGCATTTAAATTGGACTGATTATTAATGGTCAAAACAAAGGAGGAAGCACACACTGCTGCTGAAAAAGGAAAGCTGGAAAGCCACCTAATAATTAACTAATAGGCACTTCAAAATTGTGTTAGAATCGGATGGCTGCTAACAGTAGATAGAAGGTCAAACCTACTTTAAAAGAAACAAACTAAAGGTTTCACCAGTGGCCTAGTTGGTAAAGGCACCACCTGTGGCCCAGGTTATGGGTCTGTGTTGAATGAAGTGATCTGAGCCAGGATAGCAATAGGTATCATTGTGTATCAGAGAGGGTGGGTTTGGGAAAAGAAATCAACCAGGATTCCTGATTCTGATTGTTATTTGTAAAGCCTTGTGGTGGAGAGGTGGTTGTCTTTGGGCATCGGGGTCAGGCTCAACCGTGATACCCTCTGTAGTCAAGTTGCCTATCGACATTCACTGTTAATGCCCAGGAGTGAAGAGAGGGCTACTGGAACCCCTGGGTGAAATACCAGAGGTTCACTGAGTGCTGGTAGAACTGTATTACAGTAGAAGGACAGGGTAGGATGAGGGAAGGGATTAAAAAACACTGGTGGAGGCAGAAAAAACAATGAACTAAATGCAGTTGTAATGTGCCCACTAACATTCTTTTGAAAACCGATTCATCAACTTTCATGATATCAGCTTTGCTCCCCAGCTGCAACGATTAATAGTGAGACTTCATTCAGCTCTTCCATTGATAAAGCTTTCATTTAGAGCAGGATTACACATGGTTGAGTGAAAGGCTTTTGCCACTGGCAACTGCAGCAAACACACCAAAAGCTATTTTCGGACATATAACTATTGTTATTTCGTGCAGAGCAGAATGGGACCCCACGATCAGGGCAAGAGACCGTTGAAATCCAAAAGTAGAAGATGGGACTAATTCAAATGAATTGTACAACCTGTATAGGATTGTGCTGTGAGAAATGTTAACTATCACCTGCCCATGTTATTAACCAAAAGAGAAGCAGAACTATCCTTCACGAAAATGTAAAAGCAATCAGGTTAGCTGATCAATCAAGCACGATCTCCTGATAACTTTGGTTATTGTGCTTCAATTATCCATCTTGGCAGCGTCTCCAGGTGGCTGTGTGACTAAATAAAAGCTTCTTTGAGTGTTCAAGGAGCTTCCTAATGCACATGTACAGTGACGCTTAAGAAATTGGAAGATATTCCCCTTGCAACTGGCTAGAAGTGAAGAACCTATTCAACCAGACATCGGGTAAATCTTCATTTGAGATGTGCCAGATGGAGAATTATAATTACACAGATGAACATATGCTCCAACTTTCCACTTTGCCTGGTTACGTTTTCCGTCAACCGCTTTCTTATCCTCATCTTCACAGATGATGGATAAGCATTTGGGAGTTTAAGATCAAATTTACTTAACTCCTGAACATAAAAGGTGAACTCCTGGCACTACAGGCTCAAGCAGGGAGGGAAATTCCCTAGCTAACATCATTACTAACGTGAAACCTGTGTAAGAAAATAAGCTTGCAAGTTTTCAACGTGCTACCAACTTGCAATAATTTGCACAGTAGGACTGCTGTACAACATTTTGCAGACTTTCAATGGGTTGACCAACACCAGAGACTGTTGCAATTGCCAGGGAAGAACTACTGATGTTTCGAGAAGTTACACGATCAAGCGAGTTGGTGGAAGATCACTTGTGATCCTCGAAGTTCCTAAAGTGTTTTCCCTCTACAGATGAGGAAAAAGTCTGGGGTTTAATTTACAGCCCCACCTTCCTGATTCCTTTCCAGTAATCAGAAACACGTCAACTTCACCTGTTGGAACTCTGGCGGTCCTGTGTAATACCTCAAGAACATTGGACACTCCGCTTGTGTGCAAACAGATACTGAAAAGTAGAAGCTCATAGGAATCACATCATGTTGGACGGTTGCAAAGATTAAGAGAGAGATTTTCAGCTCGTCAGTAAATCTACTGATCGGATGTGATGTGGAATTTGGGCATTGCTAGCATGTGCACAGTGCCCAGTGAAAAATCTTGCTGTAAACATTTCAACACCGCCATTACTAATCCCTTCTTACCCTCATTACAATCATGTTCGAATCATGTTTTAGAGTCCCGCTATTTATACCATTAGCTTTTTTTATTGTTTTGAAGACTGAACTCCCCAACACTGCTCATCCAAACATTTTGACATTTCCATGCTGTAAAAAAAAATATATTTTCCATTATGGTTTGTGGTGCCTAGACAAGTCTGCAACATCGAACCAAATTCATTCAGTAACAAGTTCATTTGAATAATAATGAAGGCAACAAAAATGAAATGCAAAAAGAATCTCTCTGTAAGAGAGCACTCACTAAATTAAAACTAGATTTTCAGACCTGGTGATATACCACTCTAATAAACCATAGTGTATCAGGTCTTTCACAGAAAGCGTTCAACATTGTAATAGTTCGCTGCTTTTGTTAGATAATAAAACCGTCTGAAAAACACAGCACTTCTGCTTGACTGACAGTACCTTCAAGGTCAAATGCTGCTCTGTATATACAACAGTCATTTACTTCGGTAAACTTTTATTTTAGCAAATCTTCAAACAAAAGCACTGAACTGGAAATTTCAAAATTGCAGTTTTATCACAGAAAATGATAGGCTGCAGCAAATGATACACCGTTAACCCCTTTTGGATTCCCACCTTCCATAAGACTGGCCTGAAGGCAATTTTCTTTTAAATGAACACTTCATTGAATTTCCCTGAGCCGTGACCCAATTTGCACGAAAGGCCCGAGATCTGGTCGGTAGTCTCCATAGAATGAGACAGTGCAGCGAAGGGGAACCCTGTTATAACACGCTTCATTATCAAGCGGGTTCACTTATAAGACCGGCTGCCCTTCCCGACCTGTCATGAACAGGAAGCCCCAACTGCACAACCGAACACAAAATTGTGCTCATAGGACTTTTGCGCATTGAGGGTTTGGTGGCTTTCTGTGCACGTGCCAACTTCGGAGCCACTGGGTGTTGGTGGTGATCTGCTTTGATCGCTCAGACTGACCGGCACTTTGCCTTTTTTGTGCCTGAGCAGTGAGTGTAGAAATGCGGAGCAGTGACAGAGCCCTATAAGAGCCCTGCTTGGGATTTTGTGGCTCTCATCCTCACCGCGTTGAGATAATACAGTTGGTTGAGTCAGGACAATGCCCGGGTTTTGTCCTCACCTGATCCTCTTCTCCGCCACCCTCCTCGTCGTACTTCAATATATTGTCGCGCACGTCGTCCTCAGGATCAATCAGAAGCTGCTTTGTCTGACGTTCTTTATCTCTGCGTTTCATCCACACCACAAACAGCAAGACTAGGACTGAACAATATTGCGAGCGTGTCATTTTTACTGTTAGAACTCAATCGAGATGAAATAAGCAGACGTTATCCTAAATCTTGTACTTACTTAACAAGGTGATAATACATATGAGGATAGCAATAATAGCTCCTGTGCCCAATCCAGCTGCTGCAATCGCGCCAACAGCTGTACAATCTCCATGCTCATCGCAAGGGCAGACTTTCACTTTAATAACTGAGGTGTTAGACAATGGAGGATTGCCAGAATCCGTGATTATGATTGGAACGTCATACACGCCAGCAACCAGGAAACCGATTTTTAACCTGAGCTGAGCAGAATCTCCTAAGGAATACATAGAATGAGTGAGAGGTAAACACAGGAAAATTAACAAGAATTCAACGTGACGCACACACAATTCAGTGGGGGTGGAGGGCACACTTACAGTCAATTAATTCACTCTACAGTATGTTCTGTGAAGCACTCGAAGACGTGATAAGGTGCTAAATGAAATGCAAGGATTACTATTGTTATTCCGTGCCATAAAGGATGGGGTGGGCAAGGGGAGAGAATATGGCATCATTGCCCATAAATTGCTGTTCTTTCACGGCTTTCAAAGATATGAGTCGGGTGGAGACTAGCGAGCTGTGACTGTTTGCTCACAAGCGAAAGGCTGCCTGGAATCCATGAGAGATTCTGAGAGATTCTGTTCATTCTAGGTGAACAGACAATTGCCAGAATCTCACTGCACCCTTTAATTAACTTCACACTGCTGTGGATGCGGGTGAGTATATTATTAATTTTGTTTTTGCACTTGTGGGAATTATGACTCCACCAGGCTGTGTAAATATTGTTCAGGCAAATATAATAGCTTATTATTTACTTGATACCGTTATTAAACCCATTTACGCAAATAAAAATTTTACTGCAGCAATATACTGCGCCTGTTAAATTATGTCGTTTTTATTTTGTGTTACTGTTGCTCAAAGTTTCACTACATTCAAACTAATCGTTTTCACATCTGATCAATGCAACAACATGCAATCATGGTATTATGTGTATGAAACACAAATATTTGATTACTGATTACTGTACTGAGAAGAGTTATATAACCGCTTCCTAATTCTCGTTTTCACAGAATTAAAAGCAAATAATCGATTTTCGGTTTTAACTTTGGTGCAGATTTGTAAAAAGGCATGTAGTTCACATAACTACAGTAAAAAGCACTGTGTAGAAATCATTCTTCATCCTCAGAACTTTGCACAGTTTTATGGAAATCCTATAGAAAGGTGAAGTTTATGGGATCTGTCGAACCATCTCTACGGTGATAATTTGACACTTTTGAATGTGTAATAGTTTTTTTCTATTAAAGGCAGAACTTTGCCGAAAGAGATGAATCAATTCTAATGCCGACTTCGTACCGCACAATTTGTGGCAAATCACAACTTTGGCTACCAAGAACACAGTGTAAACGGGGGTTGGGACAGCAGGATATCACACTGGAGCCACACTCCGAGAGATGGTAGTTTCAGAAGTGATGTGATTCACACCCACGCAGTGTAAACATGCTGGGTATAATGTGAACTGTCAGCAAGCCCCGCACCTGACCTTGCTGAGCTCAAAACATTTGGTTCATTGCTAAATACCTAATAATCACATTTGACAGCTTCGGAAACTCTCATATTAGCTGCAAACAAAAAAAATGTCAAACATAATGTGCTGGGTCAATATGAAAAAAAATTTACATTTTAAACCTTTTTTTGAAAGTCCTGGGTCGTTTAAAACAAAGAGCGAGTGTTTTTTTTTCTGTAATGAAATTAGTGTTAATTTTTTAAATTATGTTTGTCTATCTTTTAAAAGTGAACCACGAGATTTTTCTTTTAAAATGTGAGGACTTCAATGCAACCTGGTTTGCAGGCAACACTGGCAAAAATTCATGGAAAAAGACTGGATTCAAATAAACAAAGTACAATTTACATAAATCCCAGATGATTCAACTTCAGGCCTGAACCAGGATAAACTTGAATGCTTTTGAGAATCAGATTCCTAAAAATAACTGGTGAAATCTTTACTTTTCCTGGGAAAAGAAACAAATCGAATAACTGCGGTTTGAAACAAATGGAGGAAAAAAGCTATCAAGTCTGTTTTGATATTACTGAGGGTCAGTTATGATAAATCTTTCTTTTTACTCTACCTTTCCTGAAGGCCGTAACTCATGCTGGAGTATCGTTTTGGATAGTCAGTCACTCAGTCAGTCAGTCAAGCACTGAGTTACACTTCAAAAAAAATGGATGCATTGATGTTGACTTTGCTAGTGATACTTGAGATTACTTATCTGAATGAGATTCAGAGTTTCCGCTGTGTTACAAAAGCTAACTAATGAATTCTGCTGATAGAATTTATATATGCAAATTAACAAGGTCAAATTTTCTTTTGTCTTGCACCTCGAGAGTGCATTCCGAAGCATTATATCAGTCGCAAAATTGTCTGTTTCAAATAAAGCAACAGCATGATACCTGTAACCGGAATTTTAAGCAAATCTTTCAATTTGACGTTGTGTAAGAAAATTTAGCTCATTTAGTCAGAGGTTACGAAGGATTGGCTTTCTTCTTCTCAGATAGTATATTATATTACAGTGCATTATTCCCAAACAATGTCTCAATGCTCTAGCTGACATGCGTTGTGAAAATCGAGCCATTTTGAGAGACATAAATGTCAAATGAACTTCTTCTTGTTTTCTTATTAAGGCCATTTATCACAACCCACAAAATTATTCCTGATCAGGCAATCCATTACATACGTCCAGTTTGCTCAGATAGGATTTTGTTTTAACTAAATGAGAAAAATTGTGCCAATACTGTCAGTACCCCCTTTCTGCACTTGACACTCTTGCACAGACATAACAAATGAGCAAAAAAAAAGTTTGTTTTGTGTAAAAAAAACACTGTGAAATATGAAATATTCTTAAAGTAACACATGTGCATCTTTGCATTTTTTTCCACCTATTTCTGTAGATTGTATCGGATCTGCATTTGTTTGATACCATCAAAGTACCATCAAAGTATTTATTTTAATAGAAAACTCTCAGCTTTCCTGTATACCACACATATGGACTCACCTATGGGGGTATATCACGATCTAGAATCAATGACTGACCATCTCTCGCTGTTATAACCTCTGACCAAATACTGTCTTATAGCAGCATTGTCCGATATTCAGAAGAATTTGAACTAAATGCGAAGAATCTCAACCATTAATTAAAGGATGTCAGTTCTTCTTGGGGAAGAATTCCACATGATTCAATGTTCACATTTAGTTACAATGTAGTAAAATTTGGCTATAGGAAAGGCAGTATTACAATTAAATTTGTGACTGTACTATCTTGATGTGTAATTCCCATTTAATTGGATAATTTCTGGGACTTCAATTTGGTGCAGCAGTCTACCTCTGCAGCTTTCCGAATAGTTAGTAATTAATTGCTCTTAAATTCCTTTTCAGTATTTACTCAGGTTTGAAGAAATGGTTGATGATGCTTCACAATCTGAAGATCAATTAATATGAAATCATCTCCACTGTGTTACTCACATCAGATTGCAGATAAGATATTTCAGCTCTACATTATTCAGAGATTCCAAAGTGCTGTTTATTTTGCATTAGCGAGTGTTATAAATAGAAGTTTTAACTGAATGCAAAACCATTCTTTAACTGATGGAAATTGGCCGACACTTCTAGCATAGTCAGGAAATATGGCTACTGGCAATTATGGCTAATAACCAAAGTTGGCTGTTATTCTAAAAAAATTAGCAGACTAACAGAACACTGCAATTTACGCACCACAGACTCACAGTACAACACACTTACACACCCTGGAATAATAGCACACAACAGAGTAACAGCACATGGTGGGAAGTCGATGGACTAGCACCAGCCATGCTATTTAACCTGCTATTCCCACAATATAAAATGTTTGCTGTCACACTGAATGTTTTCAGATACATCAGGGCTGGAGCTCCGAGCAAGAGGAAATTATAAATCAGCCTCCATCTCCCCGTTGTTTATTGGCATTTATGATAAATATGTTAAAAACAAATCATCTTATTTTTATTGGGCAAAACTCTGCCTTATCTTGTTTGATTTGAGGAGTGGGGAGGGGGGGGGCGGGGTATTCGCCTTGGAACATTAGATTTATTCACCAGCTAACGTGGCATGTTAATGGTTATCCTCCCACCATGAAAGGCATTAACGAGGTATAAATTGTATTTCAATTGTGAGCTCATCGCTTACCATTTAAACGAGCAATTGTCCAGTTTCTTCTTACACCAGGTGGCGTTGTTGGCAGCTCGAACACAAAGGGGCCGGTATTTGGATCCCTGTCACTATCTTCTGCTGTGATATTTATCGCATTTTGATTGGGCTTTTCGCAGATTTGAGCCTCTTTAGGAACCAGCTCTGGTGCATTGTCGTTAGTGTCTATGAGGTAAATTTGTAAGGTGCCAGTGCCACTTGCTGTGGGCAAACCTGTATGAAGAGTCCGCACAAATAACGTTAGTTCACAGTGAGGTATTTGTTTGAATAGTTACCTGTAGTTTTTTCTATCTGTGGCAAACTTATGCACAGTATCATACGTACATTTATGAAGTAGTGAAATGGGATACGAAAGGGAAAAACATTTTTTTGCTTGGCTTCAAAATGTAGTTCCCGTGCTCAACACAGCATTTTATCAAGAGATAAATTGTTCTCTAAAGTTCACAGCACTGCACTTGCTGCAAACCAACAACTATATAAAGTAGTTACCAAAAACTGGCCACTTATTTGTAAACTGTGAAACATCTTCTCTGTGACATTTACTGTCTTGTAGTGGTAACAACTGGATTATTTTGGAGATAGATTTAACGCAGGAACTAGAATGATACTGAGTTCACTCCTGTTTGTGGAGATTTTATTATTTATTATAGATTGTGCCAAAAAATGTAGCATTATCATAAAGAAACTATAATATTATCTTAAATAGCAATAATGGCTTATAATTGATTGATGGAAATGAATAGTTGCCATTTTTGGCGATGCTCCACAGTCCCATAAAAATATATTTTTATCAATAAAAATCTCTTCCCCCACTGATTTTTAGCATTGAAGTTATTTCACTTCCTGCCCGCACACAACACCACTTCCGATGATCCAGCCCAAGTGAGCCAAGTTGACACAAACGCAGTATTACTGAGAGGCACTTGATTGCAGATTCACATTGGGACCACTTTTGGAGTTGAATTCTATGCCCTCAGTCAACTATGCTCAGAAGTCACAGAAATAAATTGAAATTCCGATACACTAAACACACCGAGGAACAATTGTTGAGTCCAAATAAGCTAAAAATGACATTTTTTAAATTTAACTCATCTTTCTCAGAATAAGCACACTTACACGCTTATAGGGGACAAGGATTACACGCACACCATTGACTCAAGTGAGGCTTTACGCAATCCGGGAAATCTTGAAATTGAGATTTGCCAATGTTATTTCTTGACATTATTATTCTGTTTCAGACACAGTTGTAAGGAACTTAATAGGGTTCAATTGAAACGACACACAATGACAAGACATCGTCAGGCTAATACATTACATTATATCTCTGCTGAAGAATAAACAGCGTGAAGCCACGACCTACCGTTGTCAGCTGCCAGGAACGTCGCTTCATACATATTATTTTTAACATGGACCGACTCTCTGTCCAGCACTACTGTAGTTGTGATTTGACCAGTTGTGGCATTAATGTTCAGCCAGTTTGCAGGATCTGACAGTTTGGAATATCTAAAGAGAGCAGCAAATATCAAAAGAGATTTTAAATGCTTAGACAGGATGAGTTAGCTGGGCTGAGCTTACATCAAAACAGCCACCTCATTCATAGGCAACAATAAAGCACACGACAATTGATTTGGAATAGGCTCACTTTCAGATGCTTAGTATTGAAGAAAATAATCACCCTTCAACCAATTGACCTTGAAAACAAAATCTGTCTTGTAGCGTCAAAGACTTGTTGGCAAAACCTATAAGGGGCAATCTGTGAAATTTCATCATGCGCAAACTGCCTACTCGCTCAGTCTGGGAACAGTCCATGCTCTAAATAGCTTAAAACGTTTTTTTAATATAAATTATCTAATGATTTGTTTAAAGATCACCAGTTCTGAGCTGGACTGCAAGATGGAGTACTGCTATTGGCTGCCTTGTTTTACCTACAAAATACACAGTCAATCCACTTCACGGTATATTCTATGAAGGGTTTTGAGATGCCTTAATGCGTGATAAGGCGCTAAATCAAATGCAAGGATTATTTTTATTACTATTACTGTCTCCTCTACAAAATGTTTCTGGGATTATCAATAAATACATGCAAAGAAACAATATGATGTGCAGGGAGGAAATATTCAGAGGCAAGTGAGGCTATTCCTGATTACGTAGGCAGGTTGTAAACATTTATGTTTTAATTAAAATTTTTATTACTCCTCAGTTGAAATAAATTATTTCCGCCGTGACCAACTCAGACAGCATAATGGCTGAAAGATTGTTCTTCACTGAATTCAGTGGATGGACTGACAGTGGTAGTAGATTATGAATAAAAACTCTATTGTTGCAGTAAAATCAATTTTCAGTATTTACTCAGCTGCTGTCTAATCTCCTTATGTCAGACCCAAAACAATTATTATTGCAGGAGAAGAAAGGTCCGTACATATACTTAGTATACGAAGAGAGGGTTAGATCTGATGTGAAGCGTCGATTTTGGGGTTCGGCAAAGTTATTTAACCATAGAAATTTACATCACAGAAGTTGGTGCCTCGCCTGGATCTTTGAAAGATTTCTATCCATTTACTCCCGTTCTCCTTTCTTTACCCTCCCTATTCTTTTACATTCCTTAGATTCCATTCCTAGCTCAGAAGCTACAATGGATTATTCTTCAACCACCAATAAGTAGGACATTCTGGGTCCTGATAACTCTAATTTGTATTTTTCACAAAGGTGTAATTTTTCCCTATCCTTCTCAGTTAAAGGCGTTTTGACTTAATTTTTTGTTCCTTTGGGATAAAGTTCTGCGGACACCAGCGCCTTGTCCCAGTGGTCATTATTTCTGCCTTGACACTTCCTGGCAGCAAGGAGGAAATGCAAGGATTATTACTTGACTGGGGGGAAGAGGCGTTGTAGCTCAAGACTCATCTTGTCCTCACCGAATATTCACAGCTCCTGGAGGTGTGAATAACAAGAACAACAACAACAAGACTACATTTGTACAGCACCTTTCACGTCGGGAGGACGTCCCAAGGCGCTGAAATGGTTATACTGGTTAGCAGTCGCAGAACCATGTTTGATTTCCCTGCTCTAATCCAGGTGGCAGAGGCCAAATGTAGCTCGACAACCACTGCCCCAAACAAGATCAAGTAAGTCAGCTGATCTGTGAATCAAACACGATATTTTCCCAGCCCGTATGGTCAGCTAATTACTGAACAAACTCATCGAGTAATTGGGGGTGGGGTGGGGGAGGGGAACTGGAAAATTGGATTTTTTTGGAGGCACATTCTTTTACATACATTTTTGCTAGATGTGCTATTATTACTCCAACTTCTCAACCGACCACTTTCCATAACCTTGAATTTAATGAAGGTGTTATACATGCATGTCAAATCTGCAGAGCAACTACATTTCAAAAATTAATTTGTGCGAGTTTGCTAGCCTTGGTAAACCAACCTCAACCTCATCCTCATTCCACGACTTTCAATTAAGACGCTAGCCACCTAAAAATGGTTGCTTGCAAGTTAAGGGGATGATTTCAGCCGTAAAATTGCCACATTTTATTTTAGATTTACTTTCGAACATGCAAAGTTGAGAATAAAAAAACCCCCTGCATATCTGCGTGCGAAAGTGATGCGTTCAAAGTCGTGAGTTTGGTTAGTTTCAGTGACATTGTGCAAACAATCTAAAAAAAACAGTGAGGGGTCGAAAGTTGTTCTGAAGAAAACCATTAAGTTAACACGCCTGGGAACCAGGTACAACGTCCTTTGAATGACACTTTCTATTCCACGATATCAATCAATTTCAACTTCCCAACCAGAAGTGTGAGCAATGCTCAAAGCAATCTTCTTGCAGCTAGTGAAGTGGTGCAGTACACATGACAAACTAGTCAACTGTACCATGCAGTGGGATCACCTCAAGCCTCTCCCATACCGAATGGCTAGTTTGCCCTGGTAGCCAAACAGAATCGTTGGTTGATATGAAGGGTTGACGCGGCAAAGAGGGAAACAAAAATACGGTAGTATTTTTTTGTGGGGGAAACGATATTAAAAGATGAATGAGGAGCAGGCGATTCTCGCTGGTTTAGCAGCTGATTTTAGGACATTGCTGACAGAAGCCCGGTCAGTCACAACAACAACAACAAAATTACATGTAAAGAACGCCTTTCACGTTGGGAGGACGTCCCAAAATGTCACAGAACGATACATGGTGTAAGAAGAGAACTTTTAAGAAAAACATCAATTATGTATAAATGCTGACATAGGAAAATTGAGAGCATAACTAAAATGTAGAGAGAAATATCCAGACAGGTAGATAGTATTCAGGCGTTATTCGTAGACTTTAACCACAAAATACATGGTCACTACACTTTACAATAAAATCCTTTGAAGTGCTTTGAGATGTCCTCCCTAGTGAAAGGTGCTATATCAAATATATACCAAATAGAAGCATTATGTTGTTGCATTTTATTTATGTAAATTGAAAAGATAATTTTTTCTAAAGCTAAGCTTGCCCAGTGTTCTGCCTGATATTTATTATTTTCCTAATTCTGCAGTATTTTTAGTAAAAGAAAGTATAATGGAAACTTAATGGTATAATGGTTGAGGTGATCGATTTAGACAGTGTTACCGTATGGATAAACCTGTGCGGGTAGTTTTTAAGCTTTCTTCACATTGAAAGCAACTAGTTTTATTAGAATTTCACCAAACATGATATGTGGTGTTGAGGAGACAAGTTAAACTGTGCAGAACCTTTGCACAAAATATCCTGATAGACCCTAATCTGCTCATATGGAAAACTAGTAAAAAGCGAGGAAATAATTTGAAGTATTAGGTGGTGGCATTTCTTCTTACAGGCACAACAAGATAAGGAGAGAGTTCCCATTTTCAAAAGGGAACGCAGTGTCTAACGAGAGGTGGAAGTTACTTCTGACAGCAGACGGTGTATTTTTAAGCTTGGGACAGACAGGCAGACGGCATCAAATGCCATTCCCTACACAGAATGAGTTAGAGGTGTAAGAGATGGAAAGATCAATTCATTGTTGAGTTGGCAGGCATCTTACCGTACTATTTGCTGCATGAAACGATCAGGATCTTGGGCTGTGAATGTCGTCAACAGTGTACCAACAGGCATCCCTTCCTCCTGCCTGATCAGTTTGGGGTTGGGAATAAAATAGGGAGCTTCGTTCATGTCGGAGACCGAGATAGCAACTGTTGCCGTTGACTGGAGTGAAGACTGGATTCCGGCGGCCAGCAGAGCTTGATTGGTTACCATTACCGTCAGAACAAAGGCTCGGTTTATCTCATAATCAACTGGCTGGAAAAAATGAAACAAGTTTTGCAATAAATACTCGCGGAACACGTACAACTCTCTTCAAAAGGTTTGATGGGTCAACCTCACAGCTACAAGGGTTCTGATGAAAGGTTAGCGACCTGAAACGTTAATTCATTTTCCTCTCTCCATAGATGCTGCCTGACCTACTGCGTGTTCCTAGCGACTTCTGATTTTATCGCAGCTACAGGTAGACAGGCAAGGGAGCACCATCAGATTAGGTACACTATTAGATAATTGTTCTTGTCTTTTTCTTTCATAGTGTGTCAATCGCTTCTTTTTTATATAACCAATCGCTCCCATAGATCTCCTGTGGCAAAAAGCATGAGATAATGGGCAGAGCGGTCTGAAATTTCATGGTGTCTTAGCCTGTAAGACCATTTTGTCTTAAAATTTACAATTGTGCAGAATTGTAGGGAAATTCTTAAATTCAGTCTTATTTTAGAGGTTGATTCTTTTACGAACCAGAGAAAACCAACCCAAAATGATCTTGCCAGAAACGACTCAGTAAAATTGTAGGCCTTGGGTTCTTATACTATTCTGCTAGCAGAGGCAATGTTTTTTTTTGGTAGTGTAAGCTCTGGGGTCTCCTAAAGGAATGTTAGGGAGAAAAAAACTTCCTTCTACTCTATAAACTTTCTATAAAAAATTAAATCCTTATTTCAGCTGTTACCTCTTACTTGTGAACGTTTGCAATATTCTCAGACTCAAGGCAATGAGCAATATGAATATCAGCGATAATTTGAGTTGTAAAATTTTTCTACAAATGCCACCAGCTATAAGCCTCTGAACCCAAAGTGAAGGAAAATCAATTGTATTTCTTTGGTCAGATTGCCCTATTCTCAATTTGTGTGAATGGACTCTCGCTCTCACTTGTTGCAATAGATTTGGCAATTGATCCCCAAATGTATTTCAAGGCAAACTCAATGATAGTGGATGTGTGCAAACTTGATTTTTGTCCGATGTCATTTAGGTGACCACTGGCTGAATATCAGAGATTCAGTTCCAAACCCCACTGCTGAACCTTGCTGCTATAATGTGGACTTCAGATGCAAATGTCTCGCAACATATATGGGAAGTGCAGAAACATTTCTAGATAAGAAATAATTATAGGAACTCGTTACTGGAGGGATTAGTTAAGTACAAGTTGTAATGGGGTCATGCCAGGCTGCATTTTTCTTGATTTAGTACAATGGTTTTTGCTGATAATCTCAATGCGTTAGTCAGATAAAATTCAGCAGAATAAAGCTGCTGGAGAAAGAAAACAAACATTTAGCTGCTGTATTGAGATTACCCAGCTTTTCCAATAAAATATCTATTTAGCAGATATATTTCATGCATTTACTCCTACATTTGTTTTAGTAAAATCCTTTCAGGGTAATTGAACCGATAGTTCATTCTAACATAACAAAAAAAAACACCTCAATCCAATATTTGGCAAAACATGTGTGAAGACAAGAATATGCAATTCAAGAAATGCAGAAATACTGAGCAATACATGTAAGATGATCATTTATGGTTCTAGTTTTTAATGTAATTCTTCGATTCATTTAGATTAAACTGTAACATGTAGCTCCAAATGAATGCAGTGAGTGAAAAGCATTTGTACTGAGACATGTGAGAAACAGAGGCCAACTTAGCAAGGAATTATTTGCAGGGCAAATGCGACCTGACCTGGGATAAGTATGTCACACGTGACTTGTACATTATGAAGATATCAACATAAATCACTCATGTCTGGACGTTGCTAAATATCTCTCTGTCTATAGTTGCTGACCGAAAATTCTCAAAAGTCCGTCAAACAACGTTACGCAGATTCCTACAATAATTGGACTGAGAGACATATGGACATTCTCCTTGCAAAAATATGAAAAGTAGTCACCTCAAGCATACATAGAAGGCACTATAAATAGCTGGAATATCACCCGACATGGCGATTGTAATGCAATACCTCACGGAAATAAAAACCGGATACATGGTACAAAGGGCTATCCTTTTGATGCGAAATTATTTCAAAAATAACTCTAACTACCTAGCCATACGAATGGTTTAAAGACATCTAAAATTGCAATAAAAATGCCCTTACCTTTACCACTGTGACCATACCATCATTAGTGACCGGATCAGTTTTAACAATGAAATGCCCAGCAGGGTCTCCACTGACAATCCTGTACACTGCATTCCAATTTGAAGTGTGCGGTTGATCTCGGTCCATTACAGTCAAGTTAGCAACTATAACATCAAGTTTGTTTTCTTGAACCTCCCCGTAGAACTAGGAGAAAAAATTGCACTTTTAAAAGAAGAATCCACAATGAATGTTCCTTCAATGCCACTCATACAGTGCAATTTACAACGCAAAGCTGAGGGCTTCAAAGTGTAATCCGCTAGAAAAAAGCACAATATAAATCTGTGTTGGGCAGCTGAATTCTCTTTCAAATGAAAGAGCTGATTGCGTAAATCAATTCACGTTGATATTGTGTACGGTGTTTTTTTTAATATCTGCTGGCTAAGGTGATGAGAAGCTGGAAATATAAATCAGGCTTCACATTGCTAATGGCTCCATTGATGAAAGTATCTTTGGTTTTCTACCAGCAGCATACATAAGCATTATTCATACAGATAAACAGTCAGTTGATCAGATGCTTTCAAATTGCTGTATCTTGTTTGTAATTCAATCAGATTCATACACTAAATAATTTACCTTTCAATTAATAGATTAAATACCTACACTTGAATTTATTAAAACAAAGTATTACGGATAAAGGGTTATATCAATGATAATAATAATTCTTGCAATTTGACAGAGCGGCTTTCACTTTTATTGAAGAGTAGTGACTGTATTTTGTAGGCAAATGTCTGCAATAACGTGCAACCTCTGAAAATACAGTACATAGACACAGGAAGGTGTAGGTATTAAATAAGTAAAGTTAGAATTTAAAATAGTAATAATAATCCTTGCATTAATCAAATAAGTAAATTAAATTGAAAGCTAATCCAACAAGAGATGTGAGAATCTCATCAGTGTAGGTCTGTGTCAACAGATACTGGTAATCTACTACTTAATTAATAGCATCAGTAATCTAATGAGTATTTGAACAGTTAAATCATCGTAATAATGGCATTGCATTCCTGGTTTAAAAGTCTACCTACTGTATGTTTCAACCAACACACAACCCAATGAATTAACTAGATAACAAATGTAAAACCAATAAATATTTTTGTAAATCTGTAGGTGTTGTGGCTTTCATACCTTTCCTGTCAAGGAAGGTTAAAATACAAAATAAGCATTTCCATTTGCAGTAGAGACAAACCGTTTTTCACTTCACTTGAGATTAACATGAGAACACCCTGAAAGACTGGCCAACGGCTAATTCAACACACGTTCGTTTTTTGAGGCAAAAATAAAATCTGCCTTAGGAAAAGGCTGATGGAACAGCTTTCAACAGTTCACGTGGACAAATGCCCTGTATGTATTGCACAAGTCAAATCTGTGCCTGAGGTTGTCCGTACCAGGACCCTGCTCCGTTTATGATGGTGATAAACAATTGTATGTATGTTCCCGACATGGGTCTTGCAACTGGTTCTTCCGGCCATGATATTTCGCTGACCTGCAGTTAAGGTGCGGTCAGGCCAGCAAGCTGAATTGCTGCCTTGTTGATGAGGGCTGTCTCATCCCAGCCAGAAGATCACAATGGTTAATGTGCCCTGTGACCATTCACCTTCCTGTCTCAGTGCTATTGCCTCCAGAAGCAGGACATATTGGTATGCACTTCTGAAGGCCTTAACACCACCTTGTTTATACAGAAACCAGCAGCAGTACAGTCATATAAATAGCCCCAGATAAGGGGTTTATCAACTCTCATGTAACCTCCGACAATGACTCGGTTTTACTGCAACACCACTACTTTGACAAGACTAAGAAAACGGGGATGAGGATGAAGATTCAAATCAATTTCTGATTCCTGTATAATCTTTGTTTCTATCAATTGCATAAGAATCAGACATCACTTCTCCTGTTCTTGACAATTTTGAATTCACAGCATACGTTTAGGAATACTGCAATTTTCAGGTCTGGATTACAATGTACATACATTAATCCAACAATGATACACCATCCAGGAGTGTGGTTGTTAAAGGAATCTATACCTAAAGTTTCAAATCCTTATTCTGTAACTTTATCTCTATTTTAAACAGAATTCATCAATATATGCTTAGCAAAATAATTACTTTCTGGGTGATTATTGTTTAATTGCACATCTCGTCAAAGTACAATTTTAAAAGTACTTCATATGCACTTTAACCTTTACTTTCACAAATGTAGATGCCACAAAGTGCTAAACAAACCTATTAAATTTTCCCCTCGACTGCAGAGTACTAAAGTATATTTACCGTAGCTTCCCAGTGCTACTGCAAAAACTGTCTGTAGTTATTTTAGAAACTTTAGATCATATCAAGATAGATTGATTTCAACACTACTAATCTTCAGGCACTGTGTTTTCTTTCTATTGAGAAGAAATCGGTTTTCACTTTGCATTTACAAGAACAAAATGGCACTGGCTAAAATTGCAGTGAATAATTCAACAGGACTGAGAAAGTGAGTAAGTAATGTTTCTTATGGTGCATGCAAAGCTTTCATTGACTTCAAAATAATTAATATTGACTAACAATATGTAGTATACGTCATACTTTAAATTGCTACTAGCACCATCCTGGCTCAGTTGGGAGCACTCTCACTTCTGAGTCAAAACAATTATCGGTTCAAATTCTGTACTAGTACTTGAGCTGATAGCTTCGGCTGACACTTGAATGTGGTGCTATGGAATCACTACATTGTCAGAGATGCTGTCCTTAAGATGAGATGTTAAACTGAGGTCCTGTCTGCCTGTTCAGGTGGATGTTAAACATCCCGTGGGAATATTCGAAAAAAAGAGGGGAGTTTTTCCTCGTGTCCTCGTCAATAATCCTCCAGATAACGTTGGTCATTCAAGTCTTGTCTGTGGGATATTGCAAACTGTCTGTCATGTTACACTTACAAATGCAGTCACTACACTTCATAGCAGAACGTGTAACCATTCAACAACTTCATGAAGCATTATAATATAATCAAGGATGTTATTGTAAAAGACATTCTGGAAACATTCGGGTATGTCGTTTTTATTTGAGGAATTTCAAAAATATATCAACAATCAAATGCATGACTGTGTAATGGTGGCATGGATCTGATACTAATTACAATTACAAGGTAGCAGAGATGTATTGATTAACGCAAGACAGATGAGCACGCGTTTAATTTAATTTTGATTCAACTCATCTGTTAGCCCTGATGTACTTAAAGTGTTTGAACCACAGACGTACTGAGAAAAAGGAAAAAAAAAGACGGGTGTCAATTAAAATGTTAAAAACCTAAACATTACGTTTCCTTCATAATACACAAGCAAGTTGGGGAGGAAAAAAAATTCTGCCCAACTACTTCACATCATGATAAAAATTTTAAAGGAATCCATGGTTAACATTTTACAATAAACCATCATGCACGTCTATTTATCATTCCCTTTAGCAGTAAATGTCAGTGTTGCAGGCACACATATACATCAAGAATTTCCTAACGGTAGGAGTTATACCTTGTATCAAATGCCTATGTATCGCAAGTAGATGATCCACTTATGCATAAATGTTATGATTCGCTGATACTTACTGTGGCGGCAGTAAATTCTGGCGGGTTGTCATTCACGTCTGTCACAGTTATGACTGCAGTTGCTGTGTTGGAGAGACCATAGTTGAGGTTTCCCTCCATATCTGTGGCCTGAATGATAATTGTGTACCGTGGGACTTTCTGAAAGGCAAGGACACATTGTACAATAAATAAGTGTTCTAATTGAATCGGGATACAGTTGGGAGTAGAAACTGTGCAGTGATTTAAATAAGCTTCTAATCTAATCAAAATAGAGGCCTTTGCATAATGAATCCCTCTCCTCAACCTAGTCTCAGTCTGCAGAGTCTAATTCACCTGCTAATTAATCGCTAAATATTCTAATTAAGAAACAAAAACAGATGAATTCGACTACCCACGAGGAATCTTCAAACAATGGAGCTAGGAGATACTCCGAGCACTTATGACTTATTTGGGGGCGTCATGACACAATTTTACATTCATTTGGAAATACTAACCGTACTATTCAATACCCAATTAGACTGTCTCGGCATTTAGGGATATTTACATTAAGAACTGGCATCTGAGATGGTCCAGAAACACTACTGCCTCCAGACCAGATGGTCACAGATTAGAGTCACAAGGCAGTCCATCATTCAAGCTCCAACACCTGTCGTTGGGAACCTATTTCACCAAATAAAGTCCATTGCTGCCCTTTTGCCTTATTTTAAAGACAAGATCCAAAGAATCATCTGCAGGAGATCTCTACACTCCATAAGAGCTTGCGGGGGAGTGGGGAAGGATGTTTGGTCTGAGAAAGAATCAACCACACTAGTGGATGTGTTCCAAGGGCTTCCCCTTGGCTGACAACCCTCCTGAGCATCCTTTCATCCGTCCATCCATTCATTTATTCATTCGTTCATTTCAGCAGACAGTGTGCTAAATACAAGGCTCTATGGAGAGGCCTTGTAAATGGAATTGCATTTAATGTTTGTTGATCTAGAGGGAAGCACTTAACATTCACAGTCCTTCCCTTCCCCTTTAATACAGATCCAAAAATACTCAATGCCAAGGTTTGTGAGTGACATTGGCCAGATTGTCATGCCAAAATATCGAGATGTTTGCAACACATTTGCTACAGATGCCACCTTCATTTTGAAATGACAATTTAAATCGCACTGGTACTGCAAAACTCACAAGGGAAACCTTCTCACTCGCACTTCATCTGCACGAGTGTTATACGTGGGATTAAACACCTAAATAGAAAGTGTCGTCTATGCAACCCACACACATAAACATATCGGATGACAGCACAGACTGTTATGAAAAGGAAGTGTAAAGAAAAAAGTGATCTTTGCTGGCCTGGGCAGATTCCAGCCCTATTAAAATGCACAAGGACATCCTTTGCAACCTCCAGTGTACAATGAAAATGTCATGCTGATCCACCAGTGGTGTTCTTGTAAGGCTGAGGTTGAAATGCAGTGTTAGAGCAAAGCAAATAAATAAAGGTACCAAAACACTGCAGTAAGCAGAGGCCGTGTGAAAGATTAGTGCCGCATCACAGAATGTTTTAAAAAGCTCCCATTTCTCTCCGCTGCCATCCTTCATTTTAATAAACAGTTATTATAAAAGTGTCTGTCTTAGTCTGATTATACAACTCTTACGTTTCAATGATTAAAACAATAAAATCTCAGCCCCAATCATATTTGTTTTAATCCTCAAGCACCGCCGTCCCCTTAATAAAAACGGCTCCTGTTAATATTTGCCTCATTGGTATTAAAATTCATAACCGCATGATTTAGTTTTTGGAACCAAAAGCACTACCATTATTCCGAAAAAAATTGAACAGGCTGCAATATGTTCAGCGTTCAATGGATATATTTAAAGAAAAGAGATTATAGCAGGAGAAGATATACAGGTCAAAGCTGCTAAATAAGCTTGAAATAGCTCAAAACTATATCCCTCCCCACAATGTAATCCCTAAGGAATCCCTAAAGTGGGGATTTACCCTGTGGATTCCAAATGAAAAACATTTACAGGTGATGAAATATTGCTTTTTATCTGTTGAGGTGTATTTATGAATCACCTGCAATACAGACCAGCTGCTTGGCACCACAGTCTCTGGACTTTGCTCACTTGCAATTAAATTCAATGCGGTTTAAAGTTGCAAAGAAGTGACTTTTGTCAAAAAATGGTTCCACATTTGAATGCAGAATAGCAAGTCTTGCAGCTGCAATTTCCGAAGGTTCAGATCGCAATTTTTAAGCAAAAGCATCAAATGCTTCCTTCTGCTATCAATGAATGCAACTGACAGGCAGCGATGTCAAACCCCACATAAAATCTCGGAACGCAGTTCAGCAAAACCCACCCTTTAAATGGGAACTTACTACCAGACAGCTTGAGTTAGTGACCATCTTGGATTTGAGGTCATTATCATCAAAATTATTGATGCTGTAAGCAGCATTGATAAACATCTTAAGTTATCAACACGCAGATTAAAATTTATCACCGCTACGAGAGACTTACAAAGGTGACAGCGTAACATGGGAACAAAGATGGCCTGTGATCATTTAAATGAGTCTCACTGCATCCTTTGGTATTGTTGCCTTTCTCCAAGTATACTTAGAATTGTGGCTAAAATGCCCCCCTTTTGAAGGAGATACTCTCCTCCCATCTTAATCAATGCAGACCTGGAGCACGGCTCTTGGGGGCAAAATCTCAAGCAGCTGGAAAAATGGTTTGAAACGTATCCACAGCTGCTGAGCTCATCACTTTGTGGACAAGCAGCAGCAAGTGGAACGAATATCTGATCTCTCCACTACCTGACTTGATGAGGAATAAATTAACGTAGCAACTCTTTTCTGAGCCATAACAATTCACTGGAGTGCTGATTTGGAGAATTTAATAAATAACAAAAAACATAAGGCTACGGATCACACTGAGGGAATGTATCCTTCATTGAATACATTCAAGATTAAAGGGATTCGTCATGTCTTTTAAAGTCAAGAGATAAAGTGAAATGACAATGGAGCCTCTGATTACAATCCATTGGATGTACAAGCTTACTTTATTCTTGTATGTATCAGCAGGAGGCCAAGATTCAATTCTATTACAGTTCAAGGATATTAAAGGAAAAAAGTTTACGACCCTGAGTTATTGAAAGGAAGCTTTCATGTTGTGCAACTCTTTTATTCAAATTGTTTCTGTAACCTTGTTTTTTTTGTGTTCCATTTTCATGCCTTATCTTAGGTGCTATGATATTGCTTTTTTTTTTGCATTTATCAAGCGCTGTTTCCTGGTCCCAAACAACCAGTTGCATTGACATTGTTGTAGTATTTATTCAAGGGCAATATTTTCACAAGGTCACAGAGCGGTACAGACAAAGAAGGCCTTTTGGTTTCAACCTTCCCTCACACCCACCCAGTCTTCCTTCCATTACAGCATCAAGTGGTTTCTTAAAGGATCCCAATGTCTTTCACCCTTCCTGGTTCCCTGTCCTGGCTGTCGATTATCCTGTATGTGAACTTCTTGGGAAGTATCCAAGGGAAAATTATGCACCCGATGCATCATGATGGCTAGGATTCAAAGGTATGAAGGGCTCAAAATGAGGTCTCTTATAAGCGTGTTCAAAAGATTGAACATTACAGTGTATATGACACCAATATCAGTATCTCGCTTCTTAGAAAGTTATGAGAAAGTTTGGACTATTTTCAATTTCAACTTCCATCATTCTAGAACAGACTCCAAGGGGATAAGAGTGGGTTGGACCAAGTTCACAATAAGTGTGATTTAATAGGAGCCAACACAATATAATAAGATAATAATTCTTGCATTTGATATCGCGCTTTTCACGTCTTCTAGACATTTCAGAGCGCTTCACAGAATAGACTGTAAAGTGAATTGACTGTATATATATATATATATATCGCAAAGTGACGGATTGCTTTGTGTCATTTTGTGGTTTCTTATGCACTGGGGCTTACATTAAGAGGCAGCCTGATTTGGAGTCTGTGCTTATGTAAAGGCATTTCTGAAGTGCAGGATGTCCAGTACGACGGCAAAAGTAACTGAATGGCACAGCCCCAGATCTTGTTCTCTCAATGAAGAGCTGGATGTATGCACACCCTCCTTAGCAGGGTTGCCATTGGTAGCACATATGGATCGTAAACACATCCATCTGTGCACAAGTGGAGAGAGAGAGATAGATAGTATATTGATCTCACGGGAAAAAACAGTAAACAGAACAAATGGAATTTATCGCACATAAACAGTTTGTGAAATGAACAGCAGGGTTAAAAATGCAATGTTCACACATTGGTGTGATAATTGGGGCATTTTTTTTGAGCTCACAGCCGTTGTTTGGCTTGTCTCCATTATAATCAAATGCTGGCAAGGTCAGTGACTTTATCTTCTGGTGGAATTTCATTCCCCTCACGTGTCCCGAGTTCTTGCGTGGAGTGGATGAGTCTTATTTTCTGACCAGTCCCAAAGACGTATTTATTATGCCTCCATGTTCAAAAAACCTGGGCAAGATCAACCAACTCAAAAACAAGCCATTGTAGAGGGAGACAGTCCATCAGGGTCTAGAATTACTCTATTTATGATCTTTCGCCCACAAAATATACAGTTGATTCACTTTACAGTATATTCATAGAATCATACGCACAGAAGGAGGCCATTCGGCCTATTGTGTCTATGCCGGCTTTTGAAAAGAGCTTCCAAATCAATCCCACTCCCCCGCTCTCTCCCCATAGTCCTGCAAACTTGTCCTCCCTAAATAATTATCTAATTCTCTCTTAAAAGTTGTTATCGAATCGGCTTCCACCAGCCTTTCAGGCAGTGCATTCCAGATCCAAATAACTTATTCGGTGAAGCGCTTTGAGACGTCTCGAAGATGTGCGAGGATTATTATTATTATTATCTAGAATTTGACAATTTCCTAAATGCAGCCTAAATTTCGAAGTTGGTTTTCTGTATTTTTTTTAATATATAAGAGCTAGCTTTAAAGTTGAGGCTAAATTCAAAAAATTGCCCAAGTTTTAGACACTCTGAAATGCCAAGGAAATACAATGAATCCTAAACCCAGGTGGAATTTTTCACCTCATGTAAGACAAGTTGGGAAATTTGCAGTCAGCTGCAGGATTTCATGTTTGGTATTTGAAACCACGTGCATACCTTTGTAATTGATGTGAGCTATAGAATTGTGCCTCAGTGCCCTTTCTTTGAGGTGAATGCAATTCACCACTGCGAGAACACAGGGGAATCCAGCAGTGCTAGAAAAGCATAAAAGTTTCCTCCTGCCCTGGACTGAAGGCACTGTGAAAACCTACTCGTTTGCACCTGCCCTTTTTGTGTGCAACTTGATTCTCTTGCACTTAATCAACACCTCTGTCACGATGTCAAAGTGATTCATATCTTCCCCTACAGACTGTTGCTTCCAATGCTGCAGCTTTCCGTTGTTCGAAAGTTTAGCACTGTTGTGCACTGATGTCAGCACACCGTGTGGTTTACTGTTGCATTTAACAACAATCTATATGGCGCTTTTCATGTCAGGATGATATCTTAAAGCACTTTGACTGCTGACTGGAAGCCTGAGCTGGGGGAAAGGAGGGGAGGTGGGCAAAAATGTGGTCCAAAAGATAGACCTTAAGACAATAACAAATTACATTAGTATAGCGCCTTTCACGTCAGGAGGATGCCCCAAGGCGCTGAAGGAGAGGTTGATGATGTTGGTTACAAAGACAGGCTTTCAAAGCAGGAAAGAGGTAAAAGAGATCTATAAAGATCGATCTATTCATAAATTTATGACAAACTATATTTGAAGTTTTTCTTAATATAACAATTTATATCTCGCACTGAAAACCTCTCTCATAATCTAAGTGCCTGTACTGTACGTGGTAAAGCACATCTTTTAATTGAAATGATGGGAACTGTATTTTATCTGGCAAATTAGTCTGGATGATTTGAAGTCCCAATTCCTAAACTAAGCTGCTTCAACGATAACTTCATAGATTTATGGGCAGAAACGACTCAGTACTGATCAGTTGATTTCACATTCATTCAATATATTGCCAAGGAATGGAATATTATTATACCAATTAGTATTGTACTATTTTCAGTAGTCTTTTACATCTATATAGAAAATGTCTAAAAACACTCTTGCTTCGCAAAATTATGTTGATAGCTGCTAACTGAAAACCTCTCAAAGTCCAAGTGCAAAGCGTATTTCATAGCCTGACAGAATGCATGCAGTTAAGACTGGTTGACCAATAATGCCTTGGATTGTACCTGGCTTCACCAACTGAGTCTCTCAGAAGCTTATTCAAACCTAGGGACCCTCCACTTACCTCAGGATACAGGATATTTACTGTTATTGCATTCATTTTAATCAATCATAAAAGTTCAAGGTGAATGGACCCACTCCAGAAGCTTCTTGTCCTAAATTTGATCCTCATCTGACTGAGTTACCTGGAAATGGTGCCTCTTATGATTCAGTTATTTACCATTGCAGTTAAGGGAGAGAGAGGGAAATTCATCAATTTAAACAAAGCATTTCTATCATGCAAATTCTTTCTTTTTGTAACAGGTAACGTTAATTAAATCTAATGGTCCCTCTGAGCTGGCAAGTTGTCTGTTTTTATTGTCGCACCTGATACAGTGTGACACTAATATCACACAAATAAAGTTAATCAAATGTCAGTTTTCTTGTAGGAATGTTAACCCCGAAATGACAAAAGAATTAAGTACTTTGCCAATGTAGAATTGGTCTCGCAAAGAGAAAGTGCCTGGATGAGTTACAATTTCCTTTCGAGACCAGTGCTGTAGCTGAAAAAAAATTCACATTAATAGAGGAATTTGTGGGTTAATGCAAAACGATTCAAATCATCACTGCTGGATTTCCTGGATCCATCCCGCTGATTTGCTGATTCTTCACGAGATGTTGTATTTATCATTTTTAAGAGCGTGGATGATACGATTTCACATTAAATACTGAACGGTTTTATTGTGAGGACTTATGACTGAGAGATCAGAGATTGGCAGAACTCAATTAAATTCAGGCCTTTAAATTGCTAATGAAACAAACCGAAAAATAGATAAAAACTGTTCCCTCAGGTCGAAGTCAGGGAGGCAGAGACACAAATATGTCCAATCAGAACACTATACCTGCGTCTTTGATAACAAAATAATCTGTACTATACGTCTGTAATTAACTCCCGGTCTTCAATCTCGGAAAGACTGAGATATCACTCTCCTGCTGCGTTTTAAAAGGAGAATGAATTCCCCAGAGCTCACCTCTCTGTCAAGGCCAGCAGCTACAGTAACAATATCCCCACTCTCACTGTTGATGGTGAACATGTTTGGTGATGGGCTTGTTGGGGTCTGTGACAGGATCCGGTATCTCACCATACCATTGGCTGTAGTCGGATCATCAGCGTCGTTGGCAGTTACTGACATTACATAAGAACCTAGCAATACAAGGAACAAAAAGCTGTCAGTAATTCCGCCCCATACACATATGCAGCATTGACGATAGTTTTGGTCCACTTGTGTCAATCAACAGTTAACCGTTAACGCACCCAACAATCATTATGTGACAGAAACTTCATTGCATTGCTTCACTAAAAGTACAAAGTTCTTAATTAACAAATGGTGTTCGGATGTTCTGAAATAAAAATCGACGACTTCAAAACCACTTTACCTGAAAATCAGGAGGGAAAATACTGCACATACATTTACGGCAGGAAGAGAAATATGTTCTGTTGTGCGAGTCTCTCCCAGATTTATTCAGGCAAATTTATTGAGCAGATCAGCAGCTAGGGAACATTGCAGGTTTATGCAGCATCATCACCACCACCAAACTGCACTTATATAACACTTTTCATTAAGGATAACGTTTAAGGTATCAATGATGGATACATCTCGCTGTTAAGATGTAAACTTAATCGAGGAATAGATATTCATTAAAAAAGGAGACCTGGAAGTAACCCACATTTGTAAAACATAAACTTACAGATTGAAGTGGCATGATCATAACAAAATAGGATTTAAGATTCTCTCAAAATCATTTTCTGATCACAATAAATGCATGATGATAATCTCTGGGTTTAGTTCTTGGGAACACCAAGTCGGAAACATCCAGTTTAAAAATAACCTGTCCCAATTGTGGTTTACTATTTGGTTTCGTGATCATCATCATTTTGAGCTTCCCATCCAACTAAAAAATATGACTTCAAAGCAAACACTGCAAATGAAGCATTATTCATGAGAATTGCATCTCTTTTTCACTCCAGACCATCTCAGGGTTGCAATGATAGTGGATCTAGTCAAAAAGTAATGGCTCTTAGATGTACTGTTCATTGCCAAATGAAATACAGTGGTTGCTAATAATATTTATTGAAGGTGATAATAAAATAAATCCAATCAGAAAACCAAAACGATCTCCGACATTGTGTATTATAAGATAGGATTAAACTTGCACAACTTGTTTTTAACATAGCAATATCTAAACCTGCTAAAATGCAGAAGCTGTTTATTCTAGCCTTTACTGCAAAATACGATTGTCCTACAAGGACAAATAAATTATTATGTGCATTTTTTAAAAATATGACTAGTTCCCACTCGCCAATACCCTCCGTGATGGAGTAGGGGAACACAGAGAGCATATTAAAAGCATGAGGCTTGAGACTGCATTGCAGCCATCTGTACAGCAATCACTCATTTTCAAATTCAAACAGCATTCTTAGAGTGCTGAACCCTATGGGAACCAGTGGCCATCGGTCAAATCCCTGAGAGAATGCCAGCCTGGAAGAGTTTAATTATAATTTCAGGCAAGTTATTGATCTTGTATACACTATAAGGACACATAGGTCGTAATAAAGGTCTTTGAAATAACAGGCGAATGGAACAGAACTTCAATTTACTTTTTAGTTGTCTCTTTCAGCATTGGTCTTGCACGTTCATGTAAAGCAGGGACAATAAAGTCAATACCATCAAATGATTGAAGAGTTTGATATTTTCCAATTAATAATGACAGGCACAGTTCTGATCAATCTATTTTCCCTATCCTTTCTCCAACTTTTCTCCTTCAGCTTTCCTGACGCCAAAGTGCTTGGATGTGTATCAATCCAAGTCCAATCTTGTTCTCGTTCAGTGTACAAATGCATTCACCTTTCAGTACTAGTCAGGAGACCTTGGCTGCCATTTCTCTTCCTTAGCTCAGGATCATGAAGGCCAATTGGGGCACCACTTTTCACCCACAACACACACAATCAAAACCACTTTACATTAAATCCTGTGAAGCGCTTTGAGACATCTCAATGATGTGATAAGGGGCTATATCAAATGCAAGGTTTATTATTCTTATTGTCCAATCTAATATCAGCAAACTCAGCACAGACCATCCAGTTTGCTCGGAGGTATATCCGGAGACTGCAATTCAAGTTGGGAGTTAGAGCGACTTTTGCAAAATTATTACAGGGTTTATGCATAATGTTTATTGAAAAACCAAACAACCTTAACCTTGATACTTCATACGAATCAGTACAAAAATGCAACTGTATACCCTAAAGTATTAATTTCACAGCCTTTTAAATCACTATTCAATTATGAAACTAATTCAAGTTCATAATTGGCTTTCCACTCAAATCACTGAGGCCAACAATTTAAACCTTTTAATTTTCGTATGAATTTTAAGCATCAAGTTGCATCAGTGCGTTAGCCCATGTTATTATTTTCTCAAGAGCATGTGGCACAGACAGCACGGAAATTCTTCTCTATCTGAGAAACAGCACAGGATGGCGATGAACTGTAAAAAAAATGTACTGATTAATCTCCAGCTAATATGTTTTCAAAATCCATATATAAACTCTCGTAGCAAAGTAATAATCCTTTCATAGGCAGAACTGGTATTACAGTGACATGTCCCTCCCTCTGGAGACATCACATTAACTTTACCTTCCTCTCTCACTCTACGCTGGGCTTTTGCCTGCGGTGCTGAACACAGTTGAATTGGGACTGTGCCTTACTGGGCAATGAACGATGGGTGGGCTTCATACAGACACTAAGGCAGACATCAATTAAAAAAAGAACTGACAGTAGCTACGAGTAGATCTGGGCAATGCTTCTGAGCCATGCTGCTTGCTACTCTCAATGTCTCCTCTTTGAAACCTCGCCATCATTTTTTGAGAGTTTCGATTGCACTTGATCAGAAAAGCCGGCGGCTGAAAACAATTCCCGCTTCAATAAATGTAGAATTCACCCTTGGTCCGTTAGGAACTCAGGATTATTTTATTATTATCTTTAAAGTGGTACGACTCTCCAAGGTTACGTTTTGTGTGGGTTTTTTTTCCTGGTGCTAAAATTCATTCCAAAAATCTCGATTAGAAATTAAGACTGAACATTTTCAGAAAAAAAAATCAAGTCAATTCACTATCACCTTCTATTCATTTTCAATTTGGTTCCTTCTTTTAGATTCCCACCCGTGCCCCCCCGACTGCCCTCCTCTGGGTCATATAACATTTTCCAATCAAGAGGATGGGCAAGTTGCCAGCCCCCAGGACTCCGCCATCAGTACTCTCAAGGCAGCATTTAGGAGATGTACGAGTGCCAAGTGTAGGGACTCTGTGTTCTACTTGAACTGGCTCCCTGTATGCAGATGATCTTGGCCTGCACTCACTGCCTTCCCCTGATGATGTTAATGAGATCAGGAATCAGGTACTAATTTGTGCTGCAACACCAGTGTGCTGTTCCACTGGGCCACTTTAACAAAGCATTTGAAATGCATTTGCAGTAGTATTTTACTCTTTTGATAAATCTTTGATCCATTTGCTGATACTGTGGACTGGTGGGGTGGGAGGGGGTGGGGACGGAGTGTGTATCTTTGGCTTCCTGTGAAACTAAATGAACATTGGGTCGAATCTATGTACGTGCGTGGAATGCTGAGATAACTAATAGGATGGAATGTGAGCTGCAAACAAATAAAAGTGATTGCTTTAAATTGAGGTCAACAAACATTTCTCTTTTCACAGCTCAAGACCAAGATTGTTTCAATGCACAGTCTTTGCCACAGCTGCTTGTTTTGATAATGAAAAATGCGTGGGACCGCACACCATTGTTTGTGCTAATCAGGATTCAATGAAAAACATTTTGCTGTCACCACGGACACCTTTTAGATTGCTAATTCATTGATAGTGCTACCTTTGATGCACATTATAAGCAAGATGCCAGCTGCTAAGATTGAACACCAATTCATTTCGTAAAGGGTTACTTGTGTAAAGTGGCCATGCATGGCACTGTAGAGTTATTCTGTTCTTCAAATAACAGACAGAAAGAGTGACATTCAGCTATAGAAACTAAAAACACCATAAAAGAGATACAAACTGAAGAAGGCTCTGTTGCCTATTTAATGTCATCCGACCAGAATATTCACTATTCTTTCTTCCCATCACAGCATCAAGCTGTTTCTTAAATGATTCTACTGTCCTGATCTTTATCAGCCTTCTTAAAGGCCTCATTCAATTGTTTATTACGCTCTTGTATAAAGAATAATTTTCTGTGTGAATATTTAGATAATTATTTGGGGAGGACAAGTTTGCAGGGCTATGGTGAGAGAGCGAGGGAGTGGGATTGATTTGGATAGCTCTTTTCAAAGAGCCGGCACAGACAAGATGGGCAGAATGGCCTTCTTTTATGCTGTATAATTAAATTATTCTATGATATCCTAACATTACCCTTCACTATGTTAAACTTTCACTCTCCTGTCCTGCTGCCTTGACATACATGAAAATACTATTCTGGGTGAAATTTCCAATAGTTGACAACAGATTCAATGTAATACACATTTTTGAAACTTGTACATGCTTCAAATGTATTTGCTCTTGAAGTATGTTGTGGTATTTGAAGCCCACTGCAAAACAAACTGGAGCAAAATGCGTTTCGAAATGAAACATCTACTTCATATGTGAGATTTGAACTTGTAACACACTCCTATCATTCTAATATTATAACAATATAGTTGTGCATCAAGTTGATGCGGAATTTATATTAAATTCAATGAGGCTTCATGTTTCTGAGTTAAAATTCATGACAAAAATATTGGATTCAAATTCTGAAACCATATGGCGTATTGTTAAACTTTAACCCCTAAAACACAAGTTGCGTGATTTGAAATTTTAACCCCAGAGCTACTGTTCCTTAACTGGGCTTCCGCCCTTCAGAGAACAAAGACCTCTAATCCATGAGAGGTCTTCTCTTTGACCGTGCCTTCAGCTCCCCTCTCGACTCTCTTCCTCCTCCTCGCTCCCTCCCTTCCCTCCCCTCACCCTGACCATTTCCCCCCTCCTCTCTCCCTCCCTTCCCTCCCCTCACCCTGACCATTTCCCCCCTGCTCGGGTCATGACCCAACTGTGCAGCGCCTTGGGACGTCCTCCTGACGTGAAAGGCGCTCTATAAATGGAATCTTGTTGTTGTTGTTGTTGTTGATGAGGGCTGCTTTAAATGCATGTCCTCGATCCAGGTGAAAAAGATAAGGTGCTTATCGTTGAGAAAAAATAAAATTGTATTATTTCTCATTCCAAAATATTCCTGTCTTGAAAGAGAAGATGCTTCATTGTAATTTACTGCAGTTTCAATCTTGCAGTGAAGATCTGCGTATCTGTTCTGTCAGCATACAAAGGTACATTTCAGATGATTAAAATCACATTTGCTTGCATTAGTGAATTTGTCCTTTTTCCCAGCTACACAAGCTGTTCCCCAAATAAAACAAATGGAAAAGGAGACTGCTCTTGGCAAAACTAGACATTGATTTGCCTAATGTGATACCATGATTTATGGCTCTTGATGAGGTCTGCTTAGGATTTGGTTCAGGGCTATAATTAGTCCTTCACTGTAATTTGTTCTTGTACCTGAGGTGGGCAATAAGTGTTTTTGTATGGATTGTTCACTCACCCTTTCCAAAGGAGTCAAAGCTACTAACTGGTTCCAATAATACTTTAATCTGCATTCATCGTATAATTCCATCAAAAAAATAATAATTTGGTCACTTAATCCGTGGCTGTTTGTAGGACACTGCTGTGCGCAATTGGCTGCCGCGTTTCGCCCACAAATATACAGTCAATTCACTTTACCGTATATTCTGTGAAGCTCTTTGAGACGTCTCGAAGACGAGATAAGGTGCTACATCAAATGCAAAGATTATTATTATTATTACCAGTATGCCAAATGCAAAATTGTTATCGTCCTTTCTCCCTACCACAAGAATGGGTCCCGTCAATTGATCATGGAAAGGAATTGTGACAGAGAGTTGCAAACATTAGGTTAACAACACAAAATAGCTGTAAGGAATAGCCTACAAGGGAGAGAAGCAAGAGACCACGTTCGAAAAGGTGGTGGGGAAGTGGGAGTGCGATAAGGAACTATTAACGAGGATAATTATCTAATCGATATTTTAATTACATTGCCATGCAAATTAGATTTGCAATTTAACTCTACTCACAATAATTCATAGTGGTGTTACTGCCAGTCAGCGTGAATTTGAATAGAATTGTTTCAATAAATTGTGCCCTAAAACATGTTTAAAAGTCTCCTGTGGCAAACCCTCTGATCATATCAAGAGAAAGGACCCCACTATTAGATTTTACCTAAGTTGCTCTATAAATGGTAGATCATCATATAATTGATGCAAGCTAACATTGCTGATGCTTCCTCTTCCCAGCAAAATACCATGCGTTCACTTATAATAATCCTTAGTATCCACACAGCCTTAGTTCAGTCAGGAATTTATCATATAAGGAATTTCAGCTGTTAATCTTACCCATAAGTCTTGTGGAAAGAATACACTGTTACAACACTAAATTGATAAGCAAAATGGTAGGTGTTTGAGTTAACCACTAACTGCACTGGAGGTTCATGCAATAGAGTTTTATTCATTTGTTATTTAGCATTTTACCTGGTTTGGATCCTTCGTCCACACTTCCATTGTACAAGTGGTTCATAAATTCTGGCCTGTTATCATTCATATCAATAACGTTGATGTAAAGGTCAATTGGGTTTTCCACTTTGTTGCCATTCATGTCAACTGCATGCGCTCTGAGCTGTAAATAAAGAAGCCAAGATATGATCAAAATTATTTATGTCACACAAATTCAACATCTGCCAAACAATCATTTCGCTCTTACAAGAGACATCAAATAGTAAGAATCCATTAATCGGTGGTGTTTCTCTATTCCCAACCTCATGGTCAAACAGAGTACATCGAATTACGTTCGCTGATTCGCTCATCGGAATTGCAAGAACATGCTTATACATCTGAGGAAACTAATGGTTAGGTAGTGCAGTGCAAGTCAATCTGTCCATCAAAGGCAATAAAAAAGTGTTATTATATAAACAGACATCGACCAAAATGTAGCCTATTTCATTCTTCCTAATTGGATTCAGGGGAGTGCAATCCATTAAGTAAAATGAGTACAGCAATCCTAAAGAAATATTCAAAGGTGGAATGTAATCACTTTGAGTTGACTTACATAGAGATGAGGACAGATATTCTACCTTTGTCAACGACAGTTACTCTCTTTCTATTGCCTGGAACCCAGATTTACCTTTCCTTTCTCAAATCTATCCAAAAGGTTTCAAAGATACGAAACTCCTGGAATGTATTCACAGGAGTTTATCACAAGCACTGATTCCACAGAAACAGATAGTGACACAAGGCTTGATACCTCAATCATGAAAGGAACTTGCTTGATACAAGATGTTAAAGCTCTAAATCATGAATTCCCTCGGTACTTTCCCCAGAGTTATATCCAGAGAGTGCTCACGAGGTCCTCAGCATGGTGTCAGTGGGTAATAGGTTGGTGGATTACTTCATCCAGGATTCTTCCAGTTCCGCAACAGTGGGGAACAAAATAATGCATCAAATGTACTGGGGTAACTGAATAATTCTGCTGCTTCAGCTTGATGAAAAGGGACAATCTGAAGACCACACACTAGATGGCACATCCACTTTTTATCAGATGTCTTTTGAGCATAGTGACAGGCGTTAAGTGGAAGGTACTCAAGATTTTTCAAATGCACTTATCAATAACAGAGAAGTACTTTGTTCAACTGATAAGCTTTCGGAAAACAGAATATGAAATTGAACAGAGGAATAAATATCATTGCTCCAAATTTGGATCATAACCTTTATGAAAATAGTTTCTCTCGAGTGGTAAGGGAGACGATGCAGGAAGAAGCTGAGGGCAAAAGACATGGAATTGAACGTGATCGTGAAGTCTTGAAGGAAGAAGTGATGTGGCTTCAGGTCAAGGGGTGAGCAGAAAGATAACCTTCCCTGCTGGTAGAGAGGGGAAAAGAAACTGAGGCCCGTCACCATCTCGGATTCTGCTCAGAAAAGCAAAGAAAGCAAATTCCACCCTAGGTCAATGCTGAATACCTTCCAGAATTTGGATCATACCCAGCAGTGAAGAAAGCTTTCACAACAGGGAACGATGCAGCATAACCTTGAAATAGGATACACAGAGTATAACAAAAACCCCGAAGGGATATAGATGCATTTCCAATGGAGTTTGTACTAAATTCCTATTGACTATTCCCAATTTATTTGGAGGATGTTGATTTTATAAGATAACTAATTCCGAGCAGAATTCCTAAGAAATTCAGAATCTGATGAGAACAAGCCTCATAATTTTGTTATTGTGGTGACACGTTAGGATTTATTGAGCTATTGATTCCCCAAGTGTCTAATTTGAAATATGGCAGTCAAAGAGGAGGAAAAACCGTGCATTAAATTTGACAACAATCCAATAACGCATCAAGTTACTGAAGTGACAAATTAAGCAATGAGAACGCATAGGAATTCAGAAGGGCTGAAAGTAAAGACAGTTAGCTTGATATAAGGGCAAGTCACAATGGGGTGTCAAGCTACTTATCTTTATTTGTAACCTACTATAAAATGATAACTATTTTATTACGTTGAAATATATATTTTTAAATATTTATTGGTTTGTGTTGGTGTTGAAGGCACATGAAAGCTTTATTAATGCTATGTGTAAGGCATAATAACCCACATTATTAATAACAATAATAATTCTTACTTTTGGTATAGCACTTTTCACATTGGAAAGACATCTGAAAATGCTCCAGAAGATATATTGTTAAGTGTAGTGACTGTGCGTTTTTGTGTGATAACATTATTTAAAAAAAACTAATTTACACTCATGTCTCCAATGCTCAGATCTGGAAAATTATGGAGCGAGAACAAAACAAATATAAACACAGGGAAATAAAACAAAGTAAATATTTAACTGCATTACAGCATCCAGCAATACTGCTACAGAGCTCACAGGGATCATTACAATGTTCCAGCTAAATGTGACTGACAAAAAGAAAGAGTGGGGTGGGGTGGTGGGGGGAATCAATAACTTGACTTTGTGACAAAATGTCAAGTCAATAACCAGAAGCAAAGCCTTTTCTTATGATACAGTAAATCCTGTGAAGTGCTTTGAGACGCCTCAGCAATGTGATAAGGCGCTGTACCAAACGTAAGAATTGTTTATTCATTATTATTTGTAATATTGCTTATCTTCAGTTCACAAATTGAGTGAAATGGCTTCACAGCTGAGATTTCCTTCCGCAAACTACATCTCTCGTTTTTTTTGTGTGTGGTCTGTACAATAAAATGGCTTTTTTCAAAGTGTGGTTTAATGGTTCAATCTTCAAATAGTTTTTTTTATTAATAGTGGGAAGGATTACAGTTAACACAATCTTATTGTGGGGATCAGATAAATATAAAAGTTTGAGCTTCATTCTCACAGTTCACAGTATCGTGTGAACTCCTCAAAGTGTTTATTTGCTTATAATTGCTCAACAGTTATCCGCTTCTCTGCATTCGAAACGCCAAACTCCTCATTTAATTTCAGTTAAACTGTAATGTATGTAAATTTATGTAAATTAACACCAAAAATTATCCCTTTATTTAACGTTTGCTAACTGAAGCAGCCAACTTCATTAAGATTTTCCTTTCTACATGTGCGCACACTTCTGAAGATCAATATATTTGAAGCCTTTAAAAAAAGCATTTTCCAATGTTAGTCAGGTGAGAAATGATTACACTTGCGCTCTGGCATGCAGACTTTCATACCTGCAAGATTAAAAGAACACGCTGGTAAGGAACAGAGTGCAATCAGAGATAAAGTAGGTCATGCTGTCCATCAATTTGCAAGTATTTTTCTAAACAACATAATGTCCCACTTATCATTTTAGCAGCGACCTGAAATCTTATTTCTTGAGTACCACAAATTGGAGCAGGAAATGTGGTCCGAAATCACAAACCCAGTTGTACATTTGCTTTCAGAAAAAGAATCAGGGTGATCTTTAAGCATAAGAGAGCTTCTGATATAGAAAGCCATTGGGCCCATTGGATCAAATCCTTCACAGAATACCAATTTACCATTTTCTTACTGCCATCATCAAACTGTTTCTTAACTGGCCTGGCCTCAAACGCCCTGGTTCATAACCTGTTCTAGTGATTGATTATCCTCTATGTGAAGAAATGCCTCCTAGCACCCATTCTCCAAATTTACCCTTCACAGCTCTTTAACCTGGGTCTTGTTGTCCTTCTGCCTTTATACATATGAAAGTGTTTGTATCGGGATGAGTTTCTCTATACTGTGAAGTATATAACCATGAGGGCTTTTGTTGAGACATTGTTCTCTGAGGCTGAAGAGCTATCTCCCTCTGGTTGGACCTGAAGTAAATAAGTCATACCACTATTCTATCTATTTTACCCCTTCAGCAATTTTTTTTTCTGGCTATCCAGCAATATGCCCTTAGATTTGCTGATAAAATCCATAAATCTGCAATGAATACAATTTCATGAAATCTTTTCACACATTACAGGTTTAATATAACACATAAATTGTGAGCACAGTTGGGAGAGGGGAAGGGAAAAAATGACAGACAGACAGAATAAAGAAAAGTAATAATATTTAGTAATCCCTGCATTTGATATAGCGCCTTATTACGTCGTTGAGATGTCTCAAAGCGCTTCACGGAATATATTGTAAAGTGTTGTGTCTGTATTTTGTGGGAAAAATGTAGCAGCCGATTGCACACAGCAGCGTCCCACAAACAGTTACAAAAAAATAAAATGGAAGGACGGACTCTCTTACGTGAAACGAAGCAATATCTTCTCGATCCAAGGGTCGCCTCACATACATCCTGCCGGCAACCTGATCAATGCTAAAGATTTCCATTGGTGGCTGATCAGCGCCTGGCCCAGTAACGCTGTATCGAATCTGGATCTCCTTGTCCTTATCTGACCGAATCTGAAATAGATACGCATTGCCAACTCATCAGAAAATCAACTACAGCTGTGCCATTATACCGTGCCCCATGTATTTTAGACGTATGATCATCACGTCACACACTGCATCGTACACCGACAGCAAAAAGTTGTTTTCGCACCTTTGACGTCATGACCATCTTGAATTTTAAAACTTGCTCAGCGTAAGTGCACGGAATTCTCGATTCCCTTTCGTATTACCATCCAGCAGAGAATCTCCCGATTATTTTTTTGTTTAGCTTTAAACTGTTAGAATGGCGCCCGGGAAATTTAGAATAGGGTTAATGCATTTGCACCCTCTGGTGATGGTAGCCTTTAAGGAGTTGCATTAACAAATGTACTGCACCTGCCTCCCCATAGTCAAAGAGCAAACTAAAGAACAAGTAGCTTTTAAAAACGTAACAAAGCACCAATAATTTCTAGTCCCTCCCCTCTTCTCCACCACCAAGTATTTCCAGCAATAAATAGCTGCCTCCAGTTAATTAATGCCCTCAGTGTCTATCTAATCAGCATGGTAGCCATTACCCTGAGCACATCTCACAAATTGATGCTGTTGTTCAATTCACCAGAAAAAATGTGGGCCTGAAAATTAAACAGCTTTTCTCCGCTATGTAACCCAGGTTGTTGCAGGAACAGGTGCAAAAAAAACCCTCCCACATGTCAGTAATTCCAGATTAAAAAATTCTCCAGTGCAACATGCACAAACTCGTTCCATTGATGTAAATACTGTGCATGAATGCAGCATATTAATGGAAGCTTTACATGTTAAGTGACCTGATAAATAGGCAAGCCTTAGCATAAATCATGTGCAAACTGCACATTTCTCACTTCAAGAAACAGCACCAATAACTTGATTAAAAAATAAAATGGCAAAAAAAAGCAATTATCAGTCAGTACAGGAGTCTGATACTGTAAGTTGGTTATAAGGTATCTAAATGCTTGTGCAAAATCTATGTAAAGAAACCCTTTTAAACCAGTTGTATGCTTCCAGCCACAATAATCAACAAGCGCAGTTAAAGAATAAGTGATGTGTCGATGAAGGGAATCATTTTTTCCCCTTGCTCGTCAACTCTTTCTTTTGATATCTGCAAGAAACTGTAGCTGCTGTTTCTCGCACGATGTTTTATTCATGCTTTAATAACCTGAAACATATCTCACGGAAAAGAAAACCAATCTGAGTGGCTGCTACCCTATTCTACTCAGGTTTTAAGACTTTAATCCTCATCACACCTGAGAAGCATATTAAAAAAGCAGTGAGCATGGTGACTTTTCACCTCAAGGGTGGGAGTTTAAATCTTGCCTGGACTAGTGGGATAAAAATCCACTTCAAATGACAGCTGGGAATGTCCTAATAATTTTGGGGATATTAACTAAGCTGCGAATGTACAAGAGTGCACACAGCACAAAAATGCTCACAAATTAGTTATTGTATGTTACAGCATATTCTGTGAAGCACTTCGAAATGTCCTCTTGACACAAAATGAAATGTACGGATTATTTATTCAGAACGTGCGGTTTTCAAGTTAACGATTGCTAAAACGTCAAATAGCAAATATTCAGATGTCAATCATCTCCCACTCCCTCTCATTCCCCCCACCACCCCCCATCCCTTAGGGGTCAGCATTCTCAACGCTGTGACTCTGGGTCACACATTCTACATGCAGCTCGGAGGTCAGAACTTTACACTTCCACTTATTTAATAACGTACAGTTAATTCTTGCATTTTATGCAGCACCTGGAAAATCCACACGTCTCAAAGAACTTCACAGAGAATTGCTGCCGAGTGTAGCGACTGTGTGGTTGAAGGCAAACGCCGCAGCCAATTTGCACACAGCAAAGTCCCCTCAAACAGCCATGAAGCGAGACAATAGTGCGACACTTAGAGACGGAGGCTTGTATCTGAACAAAACAATCAGAGCAAAGCAGAGTACTGCTATCCTGGGAGTCGAAAGTCTCGATGCACAAACTGCAAGTGAAGCACTTGACCAAAGCCTTACGGACATCAGCATTGACAGCACTGGGTGGCAATGGAGAGTGGGGAGGGTGGTGGGGGGGGAGAATCCTGAATCTGGCACATTCAGACTATTCCAGGAAGCATTGCTTTTCAAAGCTCGAGTTCTAGGTATGTTTTTTTGGGGACAGAACAGAAGGTGCTTTGCATCTAATTGGTGTTATATCTCATCTGGGAGTGCTCAGTATTGAAACTGGATGCAAATCGTAGTCAGGTGTTTTCCATTTCCCAGCACTTGTATCCATCGCTCACCTTGCTTCACGGAATTGTTTTGTTTTGGGTTTTTTTTAAAGAGAGAAAATTGCTTTTCAGAAAAAAATTAAACAACAAAGAGCAGTGTTAAAACGTAATCTTAAAAAGATCCTGAATTTGTGGCGTTAACAGATGTCGCACAATATGCAGCAAGGAATGAGAATAAAGGAACATTGATTCGGCGATACATCCAGTAAGAGTTTGCATCAACATACGCAGTTGTTTATGAGGGAGATTGTTCAACAGACTGAAGCTCATTACATTTGCATTAGTCCAACACCTTAGACACATTGTCCTCTAGGGGATACTGCTTGGTGCACACACAAACACACACACACAAACAGTCCAATTTCTCAATAAGTATCCTTGCAACTACATTGTTTCCCCCCAGTGGAATCTTATTCAGCACCACGGCTAGCAGAATCTCAAAAGAAATTAAACTTGCGATAACTCTGTTCAATAACATGTCAGCAACGTGTACAGTAGTGAGAGATACCAAGGCTTTTGCTGGATGCATACCTTTGATTTAATAGCTGCTGTTAGCTGATTCGGTTTGGCAGCCTCTTTTGCTCAGCCCAGGGCCAGAAGGGTAGATTGAACACGTCTTATAAATTGAACAGTGACTAGGACCACAGGATGCAGCGAAACTATCAGATGCCTCAAATTAATACGCTCCCTGTTCCAAGTCAGAATTAACCACATACTCTTAACTCCCGCATGGCATTTCTTAGTAAATCAGGAGGGCTTTAAAAGGAGGTGAGCAATTCTTTTCTCTCTTTTGTTTTTGACAGTCATGTTACCTCAGCAAGATTCAGTGCTTTGAAGAGAGGATAAGAGACGAGAAAATTGCAGTGGATTTGAATTAGAACACAGTGTATAATAATCACAAACAACGCTTACTGTGGGATTTAAATCCTTAAACTAGCCATGAAATTCAATCAAACAAGATGAGGCTCATTTAAATTACCTCATTTGAATTGTTGTGTGGTTTCTTTTCCTGGCTATGCGTCAGGCAGTGCAGCAACATCTGAAGGGCCCCCCCAACTTCGCCCTCCCCACAATCATGAAGAGAAAGTGGAACGTGCGTTTTGACTGGCACTGACAATTACTCCAGACAGGTGCAGCTAAACCAAATGCCCCACCTGCCTGCGTAAATATGAGGTATTTGGCCTTATCCAGCAATGTAAGGAATTTCTCCTAAACTCAACTAGGTGGAGGCGAAGTGTGTGTTTGTGTGGGGGGGAGGGGATTAAAAGGGAAAAGAACGCAAAGGGTGCAGATTGGCAATTCAACAGTTTTCTACAAAAATTAGAGATGGGAGCAAGTTAAAAGCCAAGTTAAGAGAGGCAGTAAGTACGAAGTATGTTGGAATATAACATTTTCTAGCACAAGCAAGCAGCACATTGTTCAAATTCCCCGAATAAATTGATTCATTCTGTTCTGACTCCAGTACGAAAACTGTAAACCCCAAATTGGAGAGGTTGGGTGGGAAAGATTCAAGGCTGTGGTTAAGGAATGCAGCACAGAGCTGTGATCACAGAACTTGCTGTCTGTGTTGGCAAGGGAATATAAGGAAAGAGCAAGAACTAAATCTAAAGCAATAACTATATTTAATGTAGAATTGCACTGTATTATTAGGCTTGTAATTGCAAACCAATTTATTACGAGTAATTGGAAGACCTTTTCCAGTAAACTAGTCAGAATGTTTTATGTTCCAACAAAAGGCAAACTTTACCGTTCAATCTATTCAATGCTTTCAAAAAAGTATTCTATGTAAAGGCCCATTTTTTACACTTTTAGACGTACCATAATAGACTACAATTATGTGTTTAAAGTGCTTCTACAAAAGAGGTAATGCATCCACTTTAAGTCAGATTGTGCAAATGAAGTGCCGCAATGGGGCCATTTAATTTTCACTTTCAAGTCAGCTTTAAAAATGGATTTTACTTTAATGTTGGTTTGAAAAAAAAGGATATATTAACATCAAAGCCTTGTTGTCACGTGGATTACTTTAGACAGTACAGCAGCAATTGAGCTGCATTTCATTTACTGAAAGGCCATTATGCACTTTAACTTTCTTAGATGCCGCAAACTGTTTCCGTTAAGCTATCAAAACAGATAAAGTTTAACCGAAACATTTCAATGTTCAATTTTTTTCGTAATGGCCCGTGGTCAAAGGTCAACTCTTCACTTGTGCATCATCAGCCTAGAACAGTGAAAGAAAATTACTTTTGGCTGAGCCAAAGGAAAAAAATAATTATTTGTTCTTTACGATTAATGGTCCAACTTTTACTGTTTTTGTGTTGGCCTGTGCACCGTGTAAATCTTATAAAGGTTGGTCGTAGTATTATACACAAAAACTCCTTTGATAAGAACAATCCACATTTTTTGTGGGATACTGCTGTGCACAATTGCCTGCCGATTTCCCCCCACAAAATATACAGCTAATTCACTTTATAATATAGTCTGTGAAGAGCTTTGAGACATCTCAATAATAGTAATATTAATCCTTGCATTTGATATAACAACAAAATGACATTTGTATAGCACCTTGTTATGTTTTCGAGATGTCTCAAAGCACTTCACAAATGACGTGATAAGGTGCTATATTAAATGCAAGGATTATTACTATAAATGCTCTTAAGAAAAGATTTCTACAGTAAGAGTGTTAATGAAAATGTCATATGGATTTGATTTTTTAATTCAGCTTTATTGTTGTG